TTATGTCGACTTCTCGGATGTCCTCAACTCCGTCCGAAGTCATCACTCACGCCAACAGTCGAGAACACACACTATCTACGGAGTAGATACTCACTTCTTGGAGCAAATCTTTCTGGACTTTGATAGACCCCAGGACACTACTTGCTCTAACTTTGAACTAAGGGAGACTAAGTGAGGGAATTCTAGCTTCTGGCTCCATGGTTCCTCCACTAACCATAGCTAATCTTCACTACGACTCTCACAGAGTTGCAGTACTAGCACTGGAACAGTCTAGCACTCGGACTCCAGACTCCTCCATATCTGGTCCCCACTTCTTACTGTGGTGGATTACGCAGTCAATGAGCACTAAAGACATTCTATATCTTATTAGGTCGGTTTGAACGATCTACGGTCGAGCAATGCCTCATATCAACCTCGCATCGATAATCGGAACCACGGTCTGGTCCATTGTCCCCTGTTGGAATGTCTTGAAAACTTCAAATCCTGTTCGGAGGAGCTAATTTTAACTACCAGGTACCTGGCAGCCCAGCGCGCTCGGACCTGCCTGACTCAGGTCTTTTCCAAGCTATCAACGTTCCTCGTCCATCTTCCCAGGCTCTCCAGATTCTTTGGTAATGGTGGCGCGAGAATTTCCTTCCTCCTGACAATTTCCCTTGTGCAACGATGATGGGTATCAGAAGTGGAGCTGCAACTGGCCGATGATAACAGTTGAAGTCCAGATGGCACTGGAATGGGCTATCGCCAGGACTGTGTAAAGGACTTCAAACTAAGCGGAGGCCTAGGAAAACAGCTCATCAGGTCGTGGGGTGGAAAAAGAATGGGATTCCGTATCGGTTTCTTGAGCAGGAAATAATCAGGGATATAGCCCTGGCTCTAGATCACCCTTCCAGTGACTAGAATCGTTCGCAAGTTGTCAGCCTCGAATTTTGGAGAAGCAATTGCGCCCAAAGAATCGAGCAACACTGGACCAGCCCCCCCCACGGGCATCATCCCAATCTATTTACATGATAGGTGTGACAAACAGAACAGGAGCCAGCCCCCTCGCCTTCGCACCTGTCGGACCCGAGGAGTCTGTGGGAGAAGACCATACCGGAGTTATGGAGGAGGTGACGACTCCTGGGCCGATTCTCTTTGGATATCAGACCAGGTTCCTGTTCAGACACCATGTCGCTTTCCGTGCGCGATGGCAAACTGACTGGCATTGCGTGTCAATGTATATTCACAGCTGAGCTATGCCGCTTTTCAACTGTGTCATATGCTGCCAGCAGAGAGCCAACCATGCCCCCGACTACAACCAAAGCCCTGTTAAACTTTCTTCAGTGTGAGTGTCTATGCCATTCTGATACTAGTGACTTTCCTCCTAAACTCGTGAGGTCCTTTACGCATCCTAGAATCCGTCCATGGGCTTTGCCCTTCAGATCCTGCATGGCTAACCAGGGATTCCCTCGTGGCTGGAATTAATTCAGGACTACGCGTTATCTGGCCCAATACGCCTTGTGCAACATAAGATAGTCAGGTGCAATTAGATGGTGGATTCCATGGCCGCGAATCACCTTGACCACCAGACCCACTTCTCGATGATTTGACCGTCGGAGGGAATACACTGGGAGCCTAAGCGATATTTCCATAAACTCATCTCAGTGCTAGATGACTTGAGCTAGTCGTATAGTCCATCGGGCAAATATTTGACTTTGATCAAACCCAGGACGCGGTTCAGCTTCCGGTTGGTAGCATAGCCCTCGTGAGCGCTTCCGGCTACCGCGATTGAGATCACGCTTGGAAAGTTTTGTGACTCTCAAGTGCGTTATGGTCCGTATCATTCTGACGGGGTGGAATAGAAGTCTATCATGATTCATGAGAGACATCACCGCTTTTGATTGGACAAATGAATGCTGAAGAACATTCGATAGCGAATATGCTGATTTCCGCTGACCTTCAAAAACTTCCCTATCTGGAACAGCACTGCCTATCTTGGTCGTCGGGTCACACAGAAATGTGCTCGATAACCGGTAGCCCATTGTCTCAGACCTTGACGGTCCTGCTTATGGCAGGGCACATCACCATTGTTAATTCGCGATCTGATTGACCCAGCATTATCTGCAATGTAACAGAGCAAGAAGGGCTATCTCATTAATAGGTTACCTTCTTGACCGTTGGCTTCCGAAGGACAGGAAGTGATCTGAGCATTACTGCACTTGACCCTGTCCGGGTGTGACTCTCGGATGAAACTACAATGCAACATTTGAGCGGCCCCTTCATTTCTTGGAAGAACAAAACTCCCCCGATCTCCCCAGCTCTCCCCAATTGAAGCTTTTTGGCCCAAGACTGCTTGCTTCTTCGGGTCGTTGCTCAGGTAGCCAAGAGAAAAGACCCACAAGATCTGTGAGCAGGCAGATTCATTGAGTTCCTGGACTTCATCAACAAGGCACCGGTCATCCCCACCAATCAATTGGGCAAGGGTACTATTCTCAAATCTTCTTTTATCTGGGAGCTCAAAAACATATGCTGCACCACCTACGTCGCCCCCCGGTGGCGGCAGTACGTCGCTCGGCGAACAGAGAAGAAAAGGCCGGGTTGTCCAGCTCTGCCAGACATGCCAGCTGAAGTTCCTTGACGCGGCAAGCATTTGACTCCTTGCATCGACCGAGCTCTTTCTGCTCCATACAACGGTTCCGGCAGGTTTAACCATGCCCAACGCCTGATTTCTAAGAGACCCATACGGTATACCTACCCACCCTGGTCTGTAAAAAAAACGGTCTGTATACAAATGAGGAAATAGTCCGCTAAGGTTCCGGCGGTCCGCAGCCTGGATGGCTTCGTCGGCTTGTCGCGGTTGATAACAATGAGCAGCACCGACGAGGACTCACCGGGGGAGGGGGGGGCTCGTGTGCTTTCGACCAACAAGCTAACTAGGTAGGTCGGCCAGGAGCCAGGGGGGTTGGGGATTGCGATGATAACCATGGAGTGTTATGGATTTAGAAAGAACTTTTTCTCATTTTTATGCGCTTGTAGCCCTAATGCAGTAGCAAATGGCGAAAAAAAAAAAAAAATATCAGGTCCCCTCTTGAAACGATTGCTTTTTTTCTTTGTATGGAATCGACGCGTCTGTGTCAAGCATGTGACGCGGCGAAATGTCTTTTGGTAATCATCATTATCGACCGGATCATACAATACAAAGAAAAAAAGAAAAAAAAAGGAAAAAGAAGAAAAGGTGGATGGGAGAAAGATCTTTAGCGCCTGAAGCAAGCGCTGCCAGACGAAACAGATCCAAGATGTCATGAAACCGAATAAGACGAGAAAGTAGAAATCTAAGTTGCCCTCTTTGCGAACTCGACGCGGAGAATCAAATGACGGTAACCGACTAGAAAGAAGTCAAAAAAAGTTAGCAACTGATATCGCCTTTGCTGTATTGGAGGAATCAAAGAAGGGGGGGGGGGGGTGAACGTACAGCCATCCATCTTTTCGCAGGCCCGTGCAGCGTCGGACCGATCTGCAAAGCTGATGAAAGCAAAGCCCTTGGCTCTCTGGGTTTCTCTGTCTCTGGCAAGGAAGACTCTGGTGACGCGACCAAAGCGCTCGAACAAATCCCGGATCTCTGATTCTTCCGCCAACTCGCTCACCTATTGTAAGATAGGGAAGTCAGTACCATTTTTGGAGGATGCGAAAGAAGAGAAAAAAAAGAAACAGTCGAATAAAGCGGTGGATCGATGGAGGAACATACGTTTGTAACTCTCAGAGTCGCCAGATCGTCCTTCTCGTACTTGCCAGCCATTCTCTCGCCACCGCTCGCAGCACCTTTCCGCATATGGGGAGGCACGTAGCTGGAGGTTCCAGCACCAAGGCCACCAGCAGCGGCCTCGTCCTCGGCACCGGGCTCTCCGCCGGCAGCACCAGTCGACTCGTCGACAGGCGCCATGGTGTCCTTGAACGGACAGCGGGCAGTGAAATGCTCTCCGCTGCAAATACGACACTTGACCTTCTTGTCCTTGAGCTGGTCCTTGATGCTGCCCTTCTCGCCGCCGGCCTTCTCAGCCTCAGCGGCCTGGGCGCGCCAGTTCACGCTGGGACGGAAGACGATGTTCTCGCCGACGGAGGTGGTGTCGAACGAGGGGCCGGCGGCGTGGCCCTTCTCGAGACCGAACTTGGCCCACGACCGCCGCTCGGCGACCTGAGGGTTGACGTGTTCCCTCACCACGGTCGTCTTGATGCGGCGGGTGACCTTGACCTTCTTGCCCTCGTCGTTGAAGCGGTACGAAACCACGGTCTTTGTGCCATCTTTGTTGGTGGTGACTTGTTGCGGGGGGAGCGCGGAGGGGTCATCGAACTCCTCGTCGTCGGCCCAGTCGGCGCGGCTGGAAATTTTAAAAAAAAAAAAATAGGGTCAGCGTTCGGTCCGCCATGTCAGGTTTGGTATATCGAGATACTCACTTTCCTAGTCGGGACATTGTGCGTGAGATGTGGGTGATGTTGCTGTCTGTTTGCTGAATTTCTGGGATTTCCACGAAAGGTGAATGAATCCGTTGTGGATTTGTTCAGGGCGGCGTAGAGTTTGTGGCGCGTCAGCCTGTGTGGCTGGTGCCAGAGAACGAGATTTGAAGTCACGTGATCTCTACTTGTACTTAAATCAAACATCGAACATCAACAAAGCACTTTGATGCAAATTTCTGGATGTCATTGATCTGCCCTTGGTCTGGCATTTTCAGACTCCTTCTTGTTAATTACCGCATTCTAACTTGAGTTGGCTCTTTCACGGTGTGCTCCATGACTTACTTTGAAAGCTGATTGAGTCCACCAAGACTCATCTTCCAAAAGGCATCTCATTATTTACTCCAGCACGGTGGTTTTTAATCATGCCTACATACTTGGTTCATGGAGGGCAGAGTCCATAAAGCATAGTAACTATTGCTCGGCTCGAGATATACAAACCAAGTTCTGGAAGAGCTTGAACATAAACGAAATTAATTATATATATCTATGCTACATCATTAAACAAATAGACACTACCGACCAAATATCTTCAGCTCGATAGGTCGCAGGGCAGCATAACTCACGCCCGAGAAAAGGAACGCTAATTCAAAGCCAACATCACCGCCAAAGGTCGCCTCACCCGCATGCAGGGCGATGGGACCTACCCACCACGATTGGCTCATTCCGGTGATCATTCCGGCCACTCCAAACGCAAAGGCAACGGAGGCAGCAATTCCATGAGGAAGGCTCTCCGGTTTGTCATATAGCTCAGCTTGATAACCCTCAAACCCACGCTTGAAGACGAAGTGGTCTACAAGCGCGATTCCGCTATATATGGCCAGCCAGTATGCGATGAAGGTCATGAAGTTCTCCAGCACAGTTTCGAAGTGAGAGTACCCAGGGATGGCGATGGCCACAGAAGCACAGGATCCTAAGAACACCCAGATGAAGCGTGGCACGCGCTGGGAGCGGCGGCTCAGGACTTGAAGGGTCAAGGCCACGGAATAGATGTTCGGGCAATTGTTGGCAATGATGGAGAGCGCCAGGATGACGAGACAGAATTTCCCGAATCCCCCGAGAGGTTCCAGCACGGCACTCAGCAGGCCTCCGTTGCCCGAGGCCGCGTAGCCCGCTGCATATTTATTGTTGCCATCATCGATTCCTGTGGCTGATATAACGGCGATTCCGAGCATCTGAGTAAACAGAAGAGGAACGATGAGGCCAAGCCAGGTGGAGAAGAAAATCTTGCGGCGACTGCGGTCAGCTGGCTGGTAAACGGTGTAATCGGCAGCATAGCTGGTCCATCCAGTGGCAAAGCCGTATACCGTTGAGCCAAAGGATAGGACACTGCCAAGCTCCGACACCCCGACTCCCATAGGCAAGTTTCTGAAGTCGCCGGAGTGGGCGAAGGTTCCGAGGACGATCAAGAAGACGATGAAAGTGGGGATCCAGCTCCAGTATTCATAGGCATGAACGACTTTGTACCCGGCAAATGTGACGAGAAGTGTGCAGATAGCAATAATCAATATACCAGCGAATCCGGGAACGTTGTTGTTGACTGCTTGGATGAGCTGAGCACCGACGATGGCGTTGGCGGCAGACCAGCCCACGCAAGCCAACACATTCAAGATCGCAACTAGAGACGAAGGAGGTGAGCAAGAGTCTACCCCTCCAGACATAGAGAGTCACATACCGAATTTGGCAGGCCACCATCCAAACCAGAACCTTGTAAGCACCATCTGTCGCAGCCCAAAGGCAGGACCAAAGCATGAGAAGAAGCAGACAGTCATGACACCGAGGAGATTGAAGAAAAGGCAGACGAGAATAGCATCGACGAAGCCAAGGTAGAAGACTGATTTGGCGAGAACGCCGATGGCGAACGAACTGACGACCATGTTGGCTGCCAGCCACTATGCGGGGGTTAGTCTGACGGTTGTCTATGATCCGACAACAGCGGGCAAAAGACATACCATGCTGCCAATGTTGAGATACGATGTGTCCGTCCGCTCATTATCCGGTACGCGCTCGATACCCCGTTGCTCGATGTTGAGCTTTCCAGCCAGTCGCTGTAACCTGGCATACAGCGAGGTGCCATATGTAAAGGTTTGCCCTGGCGCCGCGTCATCGCTGCTACTGTCGAATTGTACCCTGTTGTCGCTCACTCGAGCGGCTTTCTCAAGGTCCTGATTATAGATCTCGGCCATCGTGCAAGAATCTATACACCTGCACGGTGTTGCAGTAGACTGAGATGGGATTGCGCAACCTTCACCACTGGAGGAAGAGAGATGGCGTTGGAAGTAAGGAGTGGGGGGGGGAGGGGGTGTTCAAAGGAAGAACTTCGAATCTTCGATCGTCCAGAGATGAAAATGGAGAGGAAGAGTAGAAGCAGTGAGTGGGCTATCACATTTTCGTTCACGCGGGTTGGTAGTCTAGTATATATTTAAATACACACTGACTGAGAGTCATGTTCATCCACCCCACAAGCTCCAGTTCCCGCATGGCCCATTCCATGGGGCAATCTAGGAAGACCTGCACCGGAAGACGTATGATAGGGATCGTTCGATGTCAGAATTGATAGACTGATAATGTAATTGTACGGACTACAGAGTACTAACCCTTTGGGCTCCACACTCAGTTCCATCGAAAGAAACACAAAATGATAGTTGCGAACCAATCACTCTTGATGTTCTGCCGTCTTTCGTAGCCGAAACCACGATAGTACTCTTCTCACTGGCTGATGGAGCAGTGTTAAGCAACACCAGCGCCACATGGTCTCTGCGCCAGGCACTATCAGACCCATCAGTGGTGAGTGGTGAGTGGTGAGTGGTGAGAATGAGAGATTCCAGATAAGACCTGCGCCCTCTTGATAGTCAGTCCAGATAACAATTAAATTCTAACAATCACTGCTTGATAAACTGGTCGGATTCCTCTGACTGATGGACGGCGTATCCCGGACATCCACGATAACAAAGTGATTGGCACTGGTCTGGCTCTAGGCTGGAAGTGTCCTGGTCTACAGAGCAGAGTACTAACTATCATTGTGTCTCTCATCCTTATCGCCGAGCAATTCCCCATGGAAAAAAAAGTAGCTTCACATTTCTTCTACTTGACATCTAGACAAGTATATATATGATATGGCTCGAAATGCTTATGATTCAACTTGTAGAGGATCTAGGCCAACATCTGGATGGCAACTGGGATAAGTATCTGCGATGTCTCTCAGTCAAGATCTGACGAAGTTATGAAATACAGCGACTCGCTGAGAACGATTCGCCATCGGTTTGATTTGTAGTCATCGCTTAGTGAGCAACGTCCAGAAAAGGGCTTTCTGTGCTGGTTGGGTTCTTGGAGAAGAACCGAAGCCGTCCAAGAGATTTCATACTCTTCATTTGCCCCCCCCAACTGAACCTCTCCCCTGACTTTTCACGCAGACTAGCTGGTAAGTACCATGATGGTTGAAGCATCCCAACTGTCCATGTTAGACGGCTGCCTGAGGCTGATGTGTAAACAAGGTGCCTAGATAATGTAAGCCTACTAGACGAGTACCGCAATTTATATTATCAGTGAGCTTGGCTCTTGCCACTGCTTGAGAAAGACTGAAAATCATCGCTTCAATTTTGGGTAGTCACAATGCAAGAACTAAGCCGCCACGTTCAGACATTAAAGGGATGGGCAGGGCATCAACTGGTTATACAAAAAGCATCATAAGGTATAGTGTAATACAGAAAAAAAAAGAAAAAGAAAGAAAGCTGTTTACAGCTTGGCAATCATCTTGTTGCCCTTCTGCAGGAGAGCGGCAGCGTCCGTCACGAACTCATCGACGATAGCCTTGGCCGACTTCTTCTCGTTGACGACAGCGGAGACCTTGCCCATCAGGAAGGGACGGGCATTGTCCAGGGTCTCATCATCAACGTCGTCGCCCAGCGTCTCGAAGTCGTGCTCGACGGGGATGACACCCTTGGCTGTCAACTCCCTGATCTCTTGCTGGCGATTCTCCTCCCAGTTCTCAATGTATGCATTCTTGCGAACCCGCAGGGGACGGCCCTAGATGCTGTTTAGTATGGATATTCCTGATCGATCTTTGGAGGTCAACTTACAGTGAAGATGATCGTGCGGATGTTGTCCTCGAAACCGGCGGTGCGGACAGCCTCCTGGTGAGCCTTGGGAGCACCAGCCTCATCGCACAGGATGAAACGGGTACCGACCCAGACGGCGGAAGCACCCAGCATCAGAGCCGCGGCAAGGGAGTTGCCGTTGAACATGCCACCGGCAGCAACAACCTGCACAGGCTCGCCGGTCATGGGGCTCTTCTTGCCTTCGCAGAGCTTGACAACGGTCGGGATGAGGACGGTGGTAGGCACATCACCAGTGTGGCCACCGCCCTCACCACCCTGAGCACAGATGATATCGGCACCAGCATCGAGAGCCTTTTGGACGTGCTTGGGATGACCAATCATGTTCATGTAGAGGATTCCAGCAGAGTGAATCTTATCGACAACATGCTTGGGAGGAACACCGACAGCGGAAACGAAGAGCTTGGCGCCGCTCTCAATGATGATATCGACCAGCTCGTTCAGCTTGCCCTTGGTGTAATCGTAGCTAACACACCACTGCATCAGCACCTCGACGCCCCAGTGATACTGCATTTATCAAACCAGTGCCGGGTGTTCTCACTTGGTCTTGCGAGCGCTTCCTCCAACCTGGGGAAGCAGAAGATCAACACCAAAAGGAGCGTTCTTGTCATGCAGGAAGCTCTTGAGCTCGGCAATCTGCTCGCGAAGCATGTCGGGAGTATAGCCGACACCACCAATAACACCCAGACCACCAGCGTTGGTGACGGCCGCGGCCAGCTTAGGACCAGCAGCCACGTTCATGCCTGCCAGCAGCACGGGGTGGTTGATCTTGAGCAGATCGGTAAGGGTAGTACGGATCTTCTCTATTCCAGACGCAAAAGATCAGTATCGACGCGTTCTTCTCCATGATACGGAAATATGGGGTTGAAGACAGAAGGAATAGGAGCAGTAGAGCTTACGAGGAGAGGCCATTGTCAACGATGGTATATCCAAAATCTATCTGGATCATGGATCAATAATGCTCGATAGATAAGAAGGAATGATCTGGAAAATGCGGAGGATAATTTGGGGCACCAGAGCTAGTAATAACCGGATCTAATATAGGGAGAAAGATGGGGGTGCCAACCGAGGAGGAGAAGCACATAGCATGATCATGAGCACAACAAGCCTCGGTTGAAGCTGAGCTGTTTGGCCCCGAGCGAATGCGCTTGCACTGCCAACTGCCGAAAAGCTCCCCCCAAAGAGGCCGGCTGGCTGACTAACCCAGGGGGAGTTGGGAGCTGGGGAAGGTGGATGCCTCAGGCTGCAGGAGAAGCTCAGTCACGTGGTCGAGAAGGCAAAAGCTCACACGTGACCATCTGTCAGGAGTCCTGATCGTGACGTACTTGAACATTGCCTCTAGACTCTAGACTCTAGGAAGGAATTCTTATCCTCCAGCTCATTTTCGTTGGCGCGTGGATCAGTCAGTATGAGTCAATGCTTGGCTGCTCGCTGGCATCCCAATGCGGCGCTGACCTCTGCTGTATATGGGTCCCGTCTGTGGGAATCTTCTGGCGCCGGCTTGCTGCTATCCAGACCACTCGCAAATGACCTGGTAGATACTTGGAATCCAAACAGCGCAAGGTCCCATCAGACTCAGACAAAGAGGCAGGTCTTCTGGTTCTAATTCCCCTTCGAGGCCCCGCGCCGAACCACCTTGTATCTCGAGCCTAATATACGAGTTGATAGATATCTGGCCACTTCCGTGACAAGTACGTATTTCTAAGCCACGACATGGGTTGAGTGGACTATTTCAATTTCGAGCCAAGACCGTAACGGATATCTTCATCATCCGCCCGTATCTCGGATTGAACGTAGATTTTGAGGCTAATATTGAAATTCCTAGGGTTACGGAAGCCGGGCTGTCTTGACAAGCGACCGTTACCTAACTTGAACACCGGGAGTTTCAAAAATGTGGCTTTAAAGCAAGTGTCCCACTGTCGATATTTCTCTGTCGCGCACAGCAGCGCATTCCATAGCGGAATGAACCCAGATAGTAGCCCTATGCACCGGGCCTACATTGCCCTTGGGAGCAATGTGGGCGCCCGCGTCGAGATGATTGAAAAAGCTTGCCAGGAGATGGAAAGGGCCCACATCAGAGTCAAGAGGACGAGTTCTCTTTTCGAGACCGCGCCGATGTATGTTCTCGACCAGGACCCTTTCATGAATGGCGTCTGCGAGGTCAGTTGAGTCTGGTCGATACTGCTTTTCTGGTTCATCTTCCTCTGTCTAACGGTCATCGTAGGTGGAAACCCGCTTAGGGCCGCTTGAGTTGCTGGATACCTTGCAATCCATTGAGCTGGCTCTGGGGCGAAAGAAGCTCATCGATAAAGGCCCCAGGTCCATTGACTTGGATATCCTGCTCTATGACCAGGAGATCTTCTCGCATGAGCGCTTGAACATCCCCCACAAGCTGATGCTCGAGAGGGACTTTGTATTACGGCCTCTCTGCCAGTGAGTTGTGTCCCAGATACAAAGACCCTGCTTTGACCGCGATGGCCCTCAACTCACAACAACATACCAGACTCATCCCGCTGGAGCTGCCCCCTCTTCCAGGGCAGCACGGGAGCTATCTCTCCTACCTCCAGTCACTCCCGCCCCCGGCGCCAGTCCCCGTAGCCACGACGTACATCTCCCCCAATTTCCCACCCCTGCGCTCCACCGACCCGACCCGCCCAACACACCTCATGGCCATCCTCAACGTCACGCCCGACTCCTTCTCCGACGGCGGCAAGCACTGGTCGCAAGACCCCGCCGCGCTCACCGCCACCATCCGCGGCTTCATCGACGCCGGCGCCACCATCATCGACATCGGCGGCGAAAGCACCCGCCCGGGCGCCCACCCCGTCGGCGAAGCCGAGGAGCTCGCCCGCGTGATTCCCGTCATCCGACACATCCGCACCGCCATGCCCGAAGCCCGCCGCATCGCCCTCAGCATCGACACCTACCGCGCCAAAGTCGCCGAGGCCGCCTGCGCCGCCGGCGCCGACATCATCAACGACGTCTCCGCCGGCACGCTCGACCGGGACATGCTCCCCACCATGGCCCGCACCGGCAAAGCCGTCATCCTGATGCACATGCGCGGCGACCCCGCCACCATGACCTCGCTCGCAACGTATCCGAACGGGGTCATCGCGGACGTGGGCGCGGAGCTGCGCGAGCGCGTCGCGGCCGCCGAGGCTGCGGGCGTGCGCCGCTGGCGCATGATCCTGGACCCGGGCCTCGGCTTCGCCAAGAACCAGACGCAGGACCTGGCCATCTTGCGGGACCTGCAGCGGTTCCGGGACGGGGTCGCCGGGCTGGAGTATTTCCCGTGGCTGATGGGGCCGAGCCGGAAGCGGTTCATTGGCCGGCTTACCGGCGTGGAGAAGGCGAGTGAGCGGACCTGGGGCACTGCCGCGACGGTGACGGCGAGCATTGCGGGGGGAGCGGATATTGTGCGTGTTCATGATGTGAAGGAGATGTGGCAGGTGGCGAAGGTGGCGGATGCCATATACCGTGTGGATTCGTGACCGATGGGGTTGACTTTGTCTTGTACATGTATTTTGCTGACTGGGGAATACTCAAGTCAAACTAGTCTACTAGGGGTAGTCTGATATGGAGCATAGGGAATTCTCCTACCCATCAAGCGAAGTGGGAGAAGCAGTGATACGATATAAATAATTCTATTGGCATATTGAACCACATGACCATCGACAGACAGGACCTTAGGTATACTCAAAAAGAAAAGAAAGAAGAGAAAATAAATGCAGCCGAGGAAATTGACCCTTGACACTGTAGCCAATTTTGATACTCCGTGAAAGGGATATATTGACGATAAGTACTAAGAGAAAACACTATGTGAATAAACAAAAAAAAAAAAAAAAAAAGGGCTTGCTGAGAAGGGTTTAGAAACAGGCAAGGCACGTCTTAAAAGTTGCTTGAGAGAAGAGAATAACAAGTACGTCGAGGCTGGCAGCATCTAGCTGTTAAGGTAACTGCGGATGGCGCCTGATAAAGCGTTAGACAGATACACCGGGATTGAAACGAAGGAGGGACCGCGCACCTTGCAGTTTAACAGCACCTTCGCCCACAAGCTGGGTCAGATTCTCAAGGTCGTCGCCGGCCGTGATGCCGAAGCGGCGGACGAAATCCTTTGCTGCAGTTTCCAAGTCTCCGTAAGTATCATCACCCGCGGGAAGATCATCTTCCGGACGGCCAAAGTAAGCGTTGCTGGAGATGGCCGTCGCTCCGTCGAACTGTCGAAGTCGGTCCTTGGCTTCGGCCTGTGCGGTAGGGTCGAATCGTTCCCGTCCGAAGAACTCATCGGAAGAGATTCCTTTTTGGGCACCGAATCTTGATTTAGTGCGCGCAAGCTCCTCGTCTGCAAGTTGTTAGCATGAAATAAGCCCAAAGTGATCAGGAAAGATAACACGTACCATCCTCGGCGGTTCTAGCTGGAGCAACCGAGCCGAATCCCAATTTCTTCGGAGCAGGCTTTGCGCCGACGGTTTGGCCAAATCCAAGTCTTCCCATGCCCATTCCCAGGCGTTCCATCTCATTAGCACTGCGTTCGTGGGACTTGCTGGTAGAACCAAAGCTGCTACTACCGGGGCTGATCGGAGTAGGGGAAGCGATGGTGGTCGCAGCAGCACTTCCGGCCGTCGCCTTGGCCGCGGCCTCGGCCTGTTCCGCCTCCGGGTCGTACCCGAGTTTCTCAATGCGCTCTGCCTCCTCCTTGGCCTTTCTTTCCGCCTCCTCGAAATCGATGATTTCCGCGCCGCCGATCTTCTTAGCGCCGAGCTTGGGCGCCTTCTTGGCACCCAGCACACTGCCCTTCTTCGCGGTGGAGGTAGTGGCAGTCTTGCGGACGGACGCACTGGATCTGATAGCAGTCGGGGCAGGCGAGGTAGCCTCCTTATCCGAAGCCGAGAGGGGCGATTTCGAGCGCGAGCCGTTGGCGCCGGCATTGAGGAAAGGCGATGCGGTCCGGCTCACCACAGGTGGGGTACCTGTACGGGATGGAGGATTGCTGGGGCGTTTGATGGATGGCTTATCCCACGAGGAGAAAAAGTCGTCCTCGCCATCGCCGGCGGGGGTGTTCGATCCGTTGGAAGCTACGCCAGCTGGAACGTCGGTGATGACAACCTCTTCCGGGTACCTGATGAAACCGAGTTAGCGATGCGTACGTCGTATAGCATAGAAAGACGGATGGTCACGAACTGTTGAGCATCCTGTGCGGCCCGCCTCTTCAACTCCTCCTTGTACTTGACTGCAGCGTTGCAGGTATACTTCACCTTAACGTCCTTGCTCGAGAGAGCGGCAGATCCGCCATGTGACTGGAAATACTTGGTCGCTGACTCGTTACCGCCGACTTTCATAACCCGAAGCTGCTCCCATTGCCATTCTGTAGCCCATCAAATTAGTTTCCGGCCGGTCTGTGGTAGAGGACACGGGGGAAGCGTACGGTCAAGGTTGGTGGAGCGAACAAAGGAAATGTGGACACCGAGGTTGCGGTGATGAGCGGAGCAGTCAAGGCATAAATAGATACCGAAGGGCACCGACGACCATGTTGGGTTTTTAGAGCCGCAGTCGAAGCATATCTATTCAAGCAAGAGGCTGGTTAGCACGAATATCCACAAGGGGAGGGAGGGGCAATGCGCGCCTTGTTTGCGGGCTTCAACTTGAGCTTCTCAAAGATTTTCTGAGACTGCGCCTTGGAGGCACTCATTGTGGCTATAAGAGTCTCCGATTGAAGAAGAACTCGACAGGGAACGTGCCACGGATAGGGGGGAAATGAAGGTCTAGATGTCCGGGAGGGAAGAGAGAAAGAGGCCAAAATGCAATCGGGAGATGAACGTGGTCGGAGTGGAATTCGATGTGACGGTGCCTGTTTGGGGATTTGCAGAGCATCCGGGTAATTTTCGACTCCATGGGGGGGGGGGAGTTGCCACTTTGGGCGTCAGTCGTGATTCGTGAGCTTAAGCGAAAGTTGGAAGCCAATCGATCTACATTTTAGGCCAGAGAGCAAGAATCCAATTTAATATTATTGTTATTGAGAAGCTCTGATTTCTGGCCTATCTACTCATCCCCGGTAGAGAATGATATTATCTATCTATCCCACTGTATATAAACAAGGACCGACCCATGCCCCGTCATTTTCTCCCACGTACTGCAAATACAGCCACCGCCCCCCTTGAAACTTTCAGAGTGGGCGCTGTGAAACAAGACTTCCCACGTGACCCACCGCATCCAGGGCCGCGTTCCCCACATGGGCCGACTTTACGACTATCGGTTCTGATAATTTGGCTGCAAAATCGCCGGACGCAGGTGATATATCTTATTTCCCCTCAAGCTTCGCAAGACAGCTCAAACTATCTCGCTCGAGCTCTGGTCGCTCTTCCGATGAAGAACCACACCGCGCCTAATCCACAGCCATCATGAGTCGCCATCTCGTCCCCAAGGCATCGACGTCGACCGCGTTGCTCCTGCGCCCGGCATTTCCCCGCACGGCGAGCCTGACCCGGTTCTATGCAACCCATAGCGATCTCGGGGGAGGATCTGGTCCCAAGGCGGCGCCGAGAAGAAGACATGTGACGGTTCTCTCCGACGATGGGCGGTATGAGTGGGGTGATTTGAGTGGGAGGGAAAAGGTCGCGCGGGCGACGCAGCAGTCGATCAATTTTCTCGTTATCGTGGCTGGGGCGGTTCTGACGGTATGGACGCCTTTCTGGCCAAGAACGACGAACGCTGGGAGGAAGAGAAATGGGAGTCTGACGAGCAGCTAGGGCGGAGTGTTCTACTTGCTGTACACCGAGGTCCTCTCCCCGAACAGCAGGACATGGCAGTTCGAGAAGGCGGTTGAACGCATCAAGGACGATTCGCGGTGTACGGATCTTCTCGGAGATCGGAGAGAGATCAAGGCGTATGGGGAGAGCACGGGGAGCAGATGGGAGCGGAACAGGCCTATCGCGTGAGAGCGGATTCATTGGTGCTTGTGCGGTGCGTGCACCAGGCTGACATTGGGCTAGGACTTCGGCCTTCAAGGACCGCATGGGTCGCGAGCATATGAAGATGCACTTTCATGTACGTCTTGATCCTGTTAGTTGGCGTTGGTACGGTTGGAAACACTGACGCTGTGTAGGTTGAGGGACCGCGCAACTCGGGAATCGTGATTGTGCATATGATGAAGCCGCTGGATAAGACTGAGTGGGAATATCTGCTTCTTGCGTTGGACGTCAAGGGTGAGTTTCCCCTCACCGACTGTGAACTATTTAGATTCTAATACTACTTCATAGGACATTCTCGTGTCATCCTGGAGCAAGCGCAAGAGAAACCCGGCGTCGCCAAGGCATTGAAGATCTTCGGCATCCAATGGCGTTGAACTCGTCCCATCGTGCTGAATCTTTTCTACAGATCCCGGTGTGTATCTCTGTGATCAAGATATAATAAGGATCTGGTCCTGCCCCTGGGACTTCCCGGAATTCAGAGCGATCAAGAGTCTCTAAAATGATCCTGTTTGTCAGAGCTCCAAAGACAGCGTATACGAGGGTCACTCGGCATTACGCTCGATCTTCCGTGCCTTTTCGGCAAGCATTGAAGAGGTACGAGCTGCTCTCAGACCGATGACTGGTCAAATGGTTCAATGTTGCACTGAAATGTGCTGACTAGAGATACCAGCTTATGTATATAAAAGAACCTGTATTATATTTGTGTGGCGTTGCGGACAGTAATCAATCATATTCTGTCTGTCAATCATGTTCGAGTCTTGTTCTTACAACACCACACCAAATGAGACGACCTCAGAAAAGCACCAGGAACCGTGGTAGAAACAACTGTGGAGGGTCACATTACCTTTTCGTAGCACATAACCTATATACATTTCGCTCAAGCATCCAAACGAACTTATATCCGAGGGCCTTCCAGAATGGACTTCGCAGCCTCTGAGCGCCACCAACTCTTTCCCTCCTCACCAGGGAAGGCAAAGGCATCCATGCTCTCGGGCTTCATTTCAACACTGTACCCGGGCTCCATGGGGGTGACATAGTATCCGTCCCTGACGCTGGAAGGATGCACGAAATGCTCATGCAGGTGGTCGACGTACTCCAGCACACTCTTCTTGCCGCTGACGACGACGTAGTCGATGGTGCTGAGATGCTGGGTGTACTCGGGCAGCCCGACGCCGCCGGAGTGGGGGACGATGGGGACGCCGAACTTGCGGGCCAGCAGGAGGATGGCGAGGACCTCGTTGACGCCGCCGACGCGGCAGGCGTCGGCCTGGAGCACCGTCAGCGCGCCTGCCTGCAGGAGCTGCTTGAAGACCACGCGGTTCTGGCACATCTCGCCGGTGGCGACGCCGATGGGGCCGTGGGGGGTGTTCTCGAGGGCCTTCTTGATGGCGGCGTGGCCGAGGATGTCGTCCGGGGAGGTCGGCTCTTCGATGAACCAGGGCTTGAATTCGGCGAGCTGGTGCATCCATTCGATAGCTTCGGGGACGGACCAAACCTGTGAGAAAGAGTGGATTAGTGGGTCGGTTTAGGCTGTTTATGGATTGCCGGTTTGGGGGGGAGGGGGTGCAAGAGAGAACGTACCTGGTTGGCGTCCACCATCAGGATGTTACCGCGGTCGTAGCCGATGGCCTCGCGGGCAATAGCTAGTCTGCGACGGTCCTCCTCGACATTGCCTCCGACCTTGAGCTTGAAGTGCTTGTAGCCTTGAGCCACGCTCTCGTTCAACAGGGTGCGCAGCTTGTCCTCGGGGTAGCCGAGCCAGCCGGCACTGGTGGTGTAGGCCGGTACGGCCTGGCTCTGCTCAGCCTCCTTGATACGGGCCTGCTTGCCAGGCTCGACTTCCTTGAGAAGCGCGATGGCTTCTTCGGGGGTGATGGCATCGGTGATGTATCGGAAGTCGATGCAGCGGACGAACTCTTCGGGGGTCATGTCCGCGACGATCCGCCAGACGGGCTTGTTGAGGGTCTTGGCCCACAGATCCCAGAGAGCGTTGACGACGGCGCCCAGGGCAAGGTGGATGACGCCCTTCTCGGGTCCGATCCACCGCAGCTGGCTGTCGGACACCAGGTAACGCCATGTCTTACCCCAGTCGGCGGTCAGCTCGTCCAGATCCTTGCTAACGACGAGGGGAGCCAGAAGGGAGATGGCAGCGCAAACGATCTCATTTCCACGACCAATGGTGAAGGTCTGTATGTGATATACGTTTATCTTCCTTTACTCTGCATAGACAGCCGGGGGGGGGGTCTCTGTATTGACCTACCATGCCATGACCAGCATGTGTTGAGTCTGTGTAGAGGATGCAGTAGGCCGAAGAGTAATCACCGGCAGCGTTCATGGCATCAGAACCTGTCTTATCGAGGGAAGTCTGCACCACTTGCTCTTAGCACCTCTTGATCCAAGCCTGCAGCTGCAGCTGATGGGTTTCATTCCGACTGACCGGGAACCGCACATCCCGTGTGGTGAAGCCAGTGATCTTAACCATGATATCTGATCAATCTTTCAACGAAAAAGTCTCGGAGAAAAGTTAAGCAGACTAGGAGAGTACAGCAGTAAGTATAGATCGCTCCAGCATCCCCAAATTTCCACTCTACAGCACGCAATTGACCGGATAGCTTGCAAGCAACTGACCCAGGAACAACAATGCGGAGGGAAATAAGCTACTATAGCAGGAACAAGAAGAGCAAGCACTCACAACAAGCACGAATCACCTCGTTCTCAAGCCACAGACAAGTCGAGGAATCACCACAATGGAAAGGAAAGGAAAGAAAAGAAAAAGAAGCGAATCTCAACAACCCCTCCTCAAAGAGGGCCATTGCCGACTGCTAAATACTACTCAGAAGGCCTCAGGCTAAAGTTGAGCATCCAGAACTGCCTCGCGGAACAATTACGCTATTGGCGGGGAATTTATCCTGCGCTGGGGGGAGCTGGTTTCTCCATCAATCATCGTGCTGGAAAGGCGGGTATAGTATGGAGTAGTTGGATCGGACCGTTTCCGCGTGTGGGAAATTTGTTCCTGAATACTAAGGCACCGACGTAGTCCCGTATTGTATCATTGTATGTCTATTTTAGCCTCTTCTACCATTCTAGCCTTCTAGGAAGTGTTGGGAGTGTGGAGGAACGGGTGCGGGTTGCAGTGCTGCTATATTAGAGACCATGTGGACGGGGGACTGCGGAGACGGATGCTTGTCGCAGCTACAGCCAGAGATCCAGGCAATTAGGTAAATAACATCTCATATAGGACAGATAGGTATTCCATTGAGAAAGGTCGACTGCCTCTGGAACAGGTCAGATCCTGTAATACATATCCTCATCGAACTATGTACGGTCAAATGTTTATGCCGAAAGTCCTCTCTTCTCACTCTCCGAGAAGAAGATAATCATTCGCCACAGTTTGCGGACCAACACCTCTGCCTCTTCATCAAGTGCCTGGAAACCAAATAATTAGCTTATGTTGCATCAAGAAAAGTGGTGAATGTAGACGTACCTCGGCGAGCTGTTCCACAAGCTCCTGAGGATGGCCGTGCTTCCGCACATGCTCCTCTACCACATCCACCAACATCTGCTCCTGCACACCCAGATACTCCACAATCTTCTTCTCCACGAAAGGCTTGAGCTGTTCACTGAGGACCGACTCATCCACAAACTCCCACTTGACATCCCACTTCCATAGTCCTTCTTTGTCGGCCGGAATCTCTGCTGCCAGTTGGCGAGCAGCTTGCGCCCGTTCCTCGTCGGAGAGGCCAGCGGCCTCGGCTGCGCTGTCGAACTTGATGGGGATGAGAGGTCGTCTGGCGGTCGCCTGAGGCTCCTCTTCGTCCTCCAGCAATCCTTCCACTTCGGCAACGGTTCGACGGGTCGTGGCAGCTTGGGCCTTCTGTGCTGCCGCGCCAAGAGAGAGCTTGAAGCGCTGCGGCTCGCGGGGTGCCTGCGTACGGGCCTCCATCTCCTCGGCCTGGCGGGCGAGGAAGTCGTCCGCCATGCCACGGGCCTGCTCGCGCTGCTGCGCCGACCGGGCACGCTCCCGCTGTTCGGCCGCACGATCAGCTTCGTCGTTGCTGATCTCACGGGCCCGGAAGGCGGCCCGACTGCGAAGCCATGCGCCCCGGTCAGCGTAGTATTCATCAACCTTGCGGCTAGCCTCGACGTCGTCGTTCCAGTCGCGGTACCGCCGGTCCATTTCGTCACGCACTTCTTGGGCCTTGGCCTCCTCTTCCTTGTCGCGCTTCTTCTCCCGCTCTAGCGCTGCAGTTCTGCTGCGCTCGCGGTTCAACCAGCGTCGTTCCTGATCGAGGTACTGTTTCTCGAGATCGGCCTCTCTCTTCTCCTGGCGTCGGCGTTCTAGCTCCTCGTCGCTCGCATCGGATTCCTCCTCTTCCCGATCAATATAGACTGTAGTGGCACCGTTGACAAAGGTCACTCCCTTCTGGTAGTCCTTGGGAATCTGCACACCGAATCCCTTGGGTCCCGAGGGCGCGTTTGGCATGCCACGGTCACGCGGACCAAGGGGAACTCCATTGGCTCCCGCCGCAGGTCCACTGGGGGCTGTGGGTGGAGGCGAAGCCAGTCGATTGATGCGCGATCCCGCATTGCGCGCGCGCTCCATGGACTCGAGCTCTTCCTCTCTCTTGAGACGTTCAATATCCCTGCGATTACTGCGCTCTCGGAAAGCTGCAATCTCCTTGGCGACGGTCTCCCGCATTTCTGCAGGGATATCGGACAATTCATCTTCAATCGTAATCGGAATGGTGACAACTTCAGCGGAGCCATCGGCCTGCCCGTCGGTATCCTTCATGGCAGTGTCCCCCTCGCGATCAATCGCCGATGTGTCTTCCTTTCGGGTAGGCGAGGTAGGGTGGATCAGCTCGGACAGGACGCCAGCAAGTGTGCTACGTGCCGCATCAAGTCGCGCCTGGCGCTCAGCCGGGTCCTGTTCGCCTCTGGTCTCTTCGTATTGCTCCAGATAACTCAAGGAACTGTCATCGACAACCACCTAGAGAACCACACAGTTAGCCAGATTGATACAAGGATGTAGCAAGATACGAACCAGTAGAGTGCTCTTCTCCACCTCCTGTTCTTCCTTCTTGTCACCGTCCTCGGAGGGAGTTTGTCTCTTGACGGGCACTTCCACCTCCTTTAGTATTTCAACAGCAGTACCGAGACTTTCAGGGTCCTCGTACTCTGCGAAACCGAACTTGCATGGCTTGTCATCGGCATCCGTCGCACGGATCCAGCGCCTCAGATTTCCCGCCGACCGCAGAATCTTCTCAATGCCCTCGTCGCCGCCAGCGCCCTCGGTGATTCCTCCCACAAAAATTGTCCGGACAATCTCTTCCCTCGTCGGCGGCTGCAGCTGCATCATCGCGTCTCGCACATTCTGGCGCTGGGACTCGAGACTCGTCGATCCCAATCCCGCACGCCGGCCGGGTGCCTCGCCACCGCGCTCCTTGCTTGTGTCGGGGGTCGCTGACTTCGAGGGACCGGTTGTTCCGAGGCGGATCACGGGCGCGGAGAAGTTAATGTTGGGCATGTTGGGAGGAGGTTGGAAGTTTGGAGGGAAGCCGGCAGGTCGACCGGGCTGCGGGGCGTTGGCCTGCTGCATCCCCGGGGGTGGAGCAGTTCCGGGTGCTGCCATGCCAGGAGGAGGAGCTTGGAGGCGTTAGTCAACAGGTGATGCAAATCCGGGAAAGGCGATGGATGGACGGGCTTGCACTTACCCATGCCTGGAGGCGCTCCTGGATAAGCGCCATAGTCTGGAGGTCTGCCATAGAGACCGGGAGCTACAAATTTCAGATGAGTATTGCGATGCTGAGATCTGGTAGCTTCAGGGAATTGCGCGGAATGAGCGTACCTTGATAGGGGTTGTACATGGCGATTGAAGTCGCCGCTTCAACAGTGACGGAATGGTAGGCTGGGAGAAAATTATTCTTTGCCGACAGAGCTCGCTGTAGCTGTAGCTGTTTCAAAAAGGAGGAGGATGAATTGTGATGGGGTCTAGGTAATAGCAAACACGCAAAGCACTGCGTAGAAGACTGGTCCAAGCAAGAAATGTAGGGGAAGTGCTACAACCCGTGCTGGTTGGAGGATCTTGCGATCACGTAGTCTGTCTCTGTAGTCGGCGGAATTTCGTCCATCCAGGCCATGTGGTCCGTGCGTTTCCTCTTTTGGCTCTGGAGGAAGAACTCATGTACAAAGCACAGATTCTGTTCCCAATCATCCATCGAGATGAACATTATTCGATTGAAGTTTAATCAGCCTATGATACTTACTACTCATTCAAGTCACTGATCTCCTCTCACTGTGTCTTTCCATGAGCATCGCGGGCACATTTAGTTATATATACACGCAACAGCTTTGGGGGGTTAAGGGATAATTGATGCATTCTTGAACATTGACACCAACAGTCACCTTTATACCAACAGAGGAATAGAAGAGATCGACAAACGTCGCTGAGGAGACTCTATGAAACTCATTTCGAACAGGCTAACTACAGTTAGCCGAGTCGAAAACACGCCGATGCGACATCAAACTCATTATCGCTACCAGCATCAACATTATAGACAGGGAAAGGATGCATGACAAGTCAAGAACGGACCCATTGAACTATTCGAAGTGTAGGCTGCTGGCCATTGATTTTGCCTGGCCATGTCAATTAACGTATATACTCCGTACCTTCTTCCTATTTAACCGATTTCCAGAGAGAACCCTCTGCATGTCTCCCCATCGGCATCTCATGGCCGAGATATCTTCTTGTTACACTCACCGGTGAACTCGAACAGCAAACCAACACGGATTGCAGTTACCTGAAGCACCACGGGGACTGGGATGTGGATTCGGGTTATCCAACGGAGCACAGTCCTCCATGAATATGGTATTTCCCGAACGAGCGAGCATCAGATCAACATCCGACATCTCGGTTGGCGGCATGATAATCATCTTCGACTACTCTGTCGATGGATTGTCTTGGTATGGAATACTAGCCTACTACTCACTAGGTACACAACAGTATGTATTCCCGTGGAAATTACGCTATTTTCCATTCCTGATTTGGTTTGAAGAAATGCTGCTTTTTGCTCACTGAGTAAGCTAGGTCGTGGCTAGAGGATGACAGTGCGTGTCCTGATCACTTGTCGAGTAGTCATTATCGAGACACTCTTTGATTGACCCCATTTGTACATAAAGAATGGGAGAGAGAGAACCTGTGAAATCAACAGCAAAAATGACTGCCACTAAAGCTATTGATGGCTATATTCCCACCTATAACTCCTAGCAGCAGTGTCATTGCCTAATCAATCTAGTACCTGCTTCACATCACTACTCCCCACCTGGTAAATGATTCATTTTCCGAGCTCAGCACCCTAATCCTAATACTTGAATTGGACTACTCTCATGCCCCCTTCCGTGCCTCCTGCTCAGCCCTGTGAGCACCAGTACTAGGCTCGGCGTGGATGCGCATGCGGAGTGCGATATGGATGGCAAATGCTCAGGATTGGCGACAGAAAGCGGAGAATCTGTGTTGGGTTGAAACAAGATCCCGGGGCCATCAGTAGGGGGTTACTTTTAGCAGCGGATTGACATTGTCCGATTGACACAATAGATTGCCCTACATGAATTGCAACCCATGACAGCCAATACGAACTGTTTCCTCGCTCATCTACAGCCCAACATGCCATAGCGGTGACCCTGTTGCGGGTGGCGGGTTTGCGGTGCAGGAGCAAGGTAGAGTTTCAGCCTGATGTTGCTCCTGCGTTGCATCACATGGAGGCAGATCTTGGGGATATTGGACACAGACGATGCTGTGCAATATAGCCATACTCTAGAATCCTGGTCGGTCCCTCCACATCCCCGTTCATCACAGACATAGGCTACTGCCATCCCACCACCGGGAAGGACTACAGCGTATCTCCTGCAGAGAACTTCCAGCCCACGGTATCCTACGGAACGCACGGGCTGGACTCTATCCTCCAGACGTGACTCCTGCGATGATCGTGGGTTACTCCAGCTCGTCATCACTGCAAAATATACCAGTTGGCATTCACTTGACGCGCTTGACCATAGTCAAAGTGAGTTTTCCAAGCACGTTGGCGAGTGGCTTGGAGACGGTCAGCGAGACTAGGTTGAGATGGCGAATGCGTGGGGATTTGTTGGGCTGGGTTTGATGTCAAATGCTTACGTATCATCTGCCAGGGGATTTCCATATGCGACAATATGCGTTATCTTTGATTATCTATGCTTTTATCAACAGAAGAGCCATGGCCCATGGGCTTAGGGGCCAGTCAGTCTATTAAGGTGCTAAGCCAGCAGTCAAGAAGTTCTTGGAATGAGAAACACTATTGGATACTACTCCCTTACTTCTACAGGCACCCGACAGCTAGGTATAGCAAATCACATTTGATTTGACAAGAGCAAGTGTTGATTCCATTGCCTAGTTAGTTCGTTGTCAGCCTTGCCAAGCTTCTATCTCTGCATTGGGTTCTAGTTAGGGCATGCTTGGTTTAAGCCCCAACACAAGCACCCGTTTCTTCCATAGCACCCACTGATGCAGGGGGTTGATCCTCGACAAACACCGGACTCAGTGCATGTAATCCTACATCGACTGCAGAGGATTAGGCAATCAACGCACGAGGGTGCCAATAGGCAGTACCGTCGTGACAGCTTTGTTGCTGTTGGGGAGGGCCACAAGGGTCTTAATTAACAGTTGGTGGCGATGCCATGGTGCATGAATTCGTTCAGAAACATATAGTCCCTCTGGCCAATAGGCTTCTGACAGTTAATTCCCAAGTGCTGATAGCCCCATTTGTTATTCTCCTTGAATGTTTTCGAGTTTGTCGTTTAGGATAGATCGGAGCTTATGGGGCCAGAACATCAAGGTCTTGCTTTGTTTTCAAAGTCGTTCTGGTATCTACACGGGGGAAATCCAAACAAATCAAGTCTCCTATGGACACCGGCAGTAGTCAATTTAGAAGAAATTAAGTGGCGTGGCAGAATTCATGATAGACCAGGATCACCATGCTTTCCTTGCACATCACATTCGAGACCTCAGGATGAAAAGAAATGCAACCATACCACCTTCAGACCTCTTGAAGTTGATTCAGGGCATATCTGATGTCGGCCCCCTGCTTAACTCTGGGCACATCCGGGCCCAGGACAAGGATGAAAACACCATCTTGCATCTAATTGTGGAACGGGGCCTTGAAAATCTGATCAAACCCCTCGCAAGATGGATCCCGCCGAGTTCCATCCCCAATCACGATGGATGGACGCCTCTCCACTTAACAGTCAGGAATAATGATGAACGCATGACAAAAGCACTGGTCCATGCTGGTCCGGACATATCAGCTCAGGATCAAAGCGGAAAAACCGCCCTTCATTGTGCCTGTTATAATGATGCAGTCAAGATTGTCCGGTTCCTCCTGGACCAAGGTGCGAACCCGTCTGCGGCGGATTACGAGGGAAGCACACCCCTGCATGAGGGGTATGGAGGGAATGCAATAATTCTCCAGATGCTGATCGAGGCTGGCGCCGAGCTTAACCCCAAACGCGGCCCACGAAAGACAAGTCCCCTTTTTTATATGGCTTGTCTGGGTCGAGAAAGTGCTGCCAGGATCCTTCTTGAGGCTGGAGCAGATCCTTTCATTCAAACAGAGGAAGGGGGAGACCCTACTGCAGCGAGCAACTTCCGGAAACCATTCCAACTTCATGCGGGTCCTCCTTGATGCAGGTGTTGATGTCAACACGCGCGATTCTTACAACGGCTACACCGCAGTGCTGAGGGCTGCTTCTAGGGGAGCAGATGATGCCCTTCGACTTCTCCAGAAGAACGGAGCGGATATTTTAGCAGGGGACTATCACAGACGCAACGCACTGCACTTAGCAGCCAGGACGGAACAAAAGCCATCAACAGCCAAGCTGCTTTTAAAAGCAGGAGTCAACCCTTCTGCACAGGACTGGCAGGGCTACACTCCGCTGCGCTATGCAGTTGAAGCGGGTATACCGGAGTGATTCAAATCCTAGAAGATGTACACAGAACCCATTTTTCGAGACTTGTGCATAGGATGTGCGCCACGTGTCAGCTCAAACTGAAAAGTGGAAGTAATGGTATATATCAGAGCATTGAGTCAGGGGTCTGGACATCTTGCAGCCTTCCTGCTAGATAAGCCTCATCAACCATTCTCTTTCCAAGGTTTAATAGGAGATAATTAGTTAGGATCTTCCCGCGCTCACGAAAAATGATATAGTCCAATATCATAGGTAGATGACATTTCAAGGCCGGTATCTTTGGGAGCTATGTCAGGCACCATCTGCTGAGCAAGTCCCGAGCTGTTGACGGATCACAAAGAATGGTCTCCTTTCTCATCCTGCCCTCTTATCCTTGACTTTCCCCCAGCTCCCTATTATATCTATTGTGTTGGTGCAAGGTGCTGATGTTGGGGAGTAGAGCTTACCAGACAATTCGACTTTCAAGAAACCGGAGCTGCATGGAGCTATGGGGCTATATGCATGTCTCAGAGTCCAATGTCATGATATGGTGCTTTGTCTGTCACGTATAGTTTGCTGATTCCTGGACCCCTCGCCTTGCAACCTACTTTGGTCGGTAGGCCCCTGCTCAGCCGCAACGAACGTTCCAGGAATGGTTCGGGCAAGTTTTAATTCTTGGATTACAAAAGGACGTCTGTGTCCTGCTGCGGCGACACCTCTCAGGTTGATTATTTTATCCATCTGGAATCACCTCTCACAAATTAACTATCAGTGACTCTTTCCTCGCTGAGCTCATCCACCTCCTATCGAATACACGATCAAAATGTCGGGCAGTATGCCATTCAATCCTGATGAACTCCCAAACCTCTCCGGGAAGGTCATTCTGGTAACCGGCGGTTAGTTCTACTCATATTGGTATTTCTTCATGCGCGAATAATTCCCTGACGTGTGACTAGGGACGGCCGGCCTTGGTGCCGCCACGGTTCTTCATCTGGCGAAACACTCACCGGCGCATATCTACATCAGCGGACGGAGCGCGAAGAACGCCGAGGACGTCATCAACCAAGTGCGCGATTCGGGCTCGCAGTCGCGCCTGTCGTTCCTCTCGTGCGATCTGGCATCCCTCGCCTCCGTAAAGAAGGCGGCCGAAACGGTGCTCAGGCAGGAATCACGGCTGGACATCCTGATGTGCAACGCAGGCATCATGGCCCAGCCACCTGGGTCATGCGCTGCTGATCCAGAGTTGCCTGCCTCTGCTGCTGCAGACGGCGGCGGAGCAACCCGGAGCCAACCCGCGTATCATCATTCTCAGCTCTTTGGGGTTTCGGTTGCACCCTTGCGACGGCATCATCTTCTCCGATCTGAAGACCGAGCAGAATTTCCGCGCCTTCGGTGGGTGGAAACGCTATGGCCAGAGCAAACTTGCCAATCTACTGTATGCGCGCGAGCTGGCCCGCCGATATCCTGCCATCACCAGCGTCTCCGTTCATCCCGGCGTGGTCAGTACGGGGCTTGTTGAGAATCAAGGCTGGGCAAACCGCGCCTTGATCAACGTTACCAACATTGGCAAGATACTCAAGCCCTCAGAGGGTGCTTATAGCCAACTCTGGGCGGCAACTACCGCCAAAGAAAGCCTGGAAAATGGCCAGTTCTACGAGCCGGTGGGGGTTCTATCGTCAAAGCTCGACAAGATCGCTCGCGATGATGCGTTGGCGAGGAGGCTGTGGGAATGGACGGACGAGGCTCTGGCAGACTACATGAACTAGGTCGCTTTGTTCTCCAGGGTCGGTTGGATGCGATATCTTGTAAACGAGGTACGTGTCTACGTGGAAGCCTTGCTGCGTGGGGACTCGGCTCAACTCCATGCCGTTAGGGTCGGTTGTTCGGGCGAACACAGCTTCCGTAGGCTAGTATGTAGCCCATATGAGACCTCACTGCTGCTTGATCCTGGATCTTCTGTGTCCTCCCAACGGACCGGGTGCGAGCTGAATGAATACATTTGAAGCTAACCCCATACACGATGCTGAATGTTTCTGTTCATTGTATGAGAGAGAGAGATAAACCAGGACCAATTGATATGACGGGAACCTGCTGGTTACGAACTTGTGGATGCCTGCGCAAATCAAGACGAGGCGTCAACTAGGCCCAAATGTTATTCAAGATTCTATTTAGTACCTATGGGCCGGCCTATAGACTTAGATTTACCTCATAAACAAAGCTTCACGAATCATGACATAGGTCATAAATGGTATACTATCACCATTGGGTGTATCTATGAGTGTCACCTAACAAGAATGGAACCCTCAGTTTGGACGATCAGCGTTCTAGAGTCCTAGGTAAATAGTCCTTTGCCCCTGGAGTAGACGCTAACCTCTCTTTCAGTTCCTTGCAGGCTCCCACGCTGACGCCAACACCATATCTCTCCAGTTTACTCTGTAGTTTCCATGCCAATTTCTACTCCAGCCTCTCGTCCCGCCCCCAAGAGCTAGTTTGTTGCTCGCTAGTGCTCACCTTAAGTCATCTGCTTGGCTACGGGTGCTCAAAATGATTCTTTTGTCTTGTCATCACATCCAGTGGGATACACCAACCCGCTGGCCGAGTTTACTGTGTTTATCTGCGCTTGGAATCACTAAAGGTATGTTCCAGACGCTCTAGTGTGTCAAAGACAGTCAAGAGGAGAGGGGAGCTCTTGAAGCTTGCAATGGATGGGGGTGGGGGGTGTTCAGGCTGTGGTGCATTAGTCGTCCCCCGCATCTGGCCAGCGACAAAATGTAGTGGAGAAGAAAGGGGAGTGTGTTCGTCATGGGATCCCCTTCTCGCAGTCTTACTTGGGCCATGGAACCTCTCAGTTGAAAGATTCCACTGCAGTGAACATGTTCAGACTGGCCACGAGGAGAGAATTCCTGGGGAAGGGTCGCCGCCGCCGCCCGTGACACGGAATGCCTCAGGAGAAGTTGATACGACCAGTCCCAAGCTGGAGAGAAGTAGGAATATTCAAAATGCTCGGCTTCGTATGCTGATAGCGACAGCCAGCGAGTCGGAGATCATCATATCTCACTCGATAGCCTCGAAGCGGCCCGTTGCACGCAGAGCTCTACAATTCCAGGTCTAATCCCCCCCGAAATCAGAGGTTGACTGGTCAAGCTTCAGAGCTCGTGAGAATACCTGGTAGTGTATTCAGCTCTTGGTTGTTACTATAGCACTAACCGTGATTAAACTTGCAGAAATACATATATCATTGTCAATGCATACTTGGACTTAGTTAAATTTACCTTACAATAGCAGCGACTGATGCTGCTGGTATCTATCGAAGTGGAGATCTTAGGAGTTAGGGCAGTCTGGCTGGTCGGCTGGTGTGCGTGCTCTATCCGTCTTCAGTGCGTGGCCGTGAGCAGTCAAATACTCCATAGATGATTAAAGCAGCGGTCCGTGTGTCAGACAACCAACTTGAAGGTACTGAGTAGTGACTACTGACGGATAGAGGAGACTAGGTACTACTACTAACTACTAGAGGAAAACCATCTCCTTTATAATGAATAATGAATGTCAGGTCACCACCACCTGTCCCCATAGATCCATCTTACTCAGAATCATCTCATGATAATTAATCAATTAATAAGGATATTGTAGAGAAGGTGAATTGGTGTCCACTGTCCAGGTATTTAAGGAGATCATCCCACCGGTGAAACTCCTCTGTCGCAACTTGCAACCGGATAAATCCAGTCAGTACTATAGAATAAGTCTGAATCTACTGCCCCACGTCTGCCCCTCCTAAACGGACCTCAACCGCCCGATTGACGACATTCATAATCAGTGGTTGCTCCCAGAAGCTGTGCCAGGAGTCTCTCCCGTCTTTCCCGCTTCTTCTCATCCCTCTCATCCTCTCATCCTCTCATCCTCTCATTTCTTCTCTTGCTGCCAGAGTCTGCTAAATTCATCAAGTTCTCTCTTCCAAACAAAGGAAATCCATAAATAAAAAAAAAAAAAAAAGGTATGCAATAGCTCTCTTAGCTGGCACTCCCGCGATCTTCCTTCTCTCCTATTCCGTGCCCCGCACTGACGCAAGAGCTTTTTCCTGTGATAGCCCAAGTGTACTTCCTACCCATCCATCACAATGCCTGGTTTTTCGCAGGCCACAGAGCTCAGTGCCTGGAAGGAGCTCCAGGAGCACCATAACTCCCTCGGACGCAACATTGTCCTCAAGGAATATTTCGAGAAGGACCCCCAGCGCTTCGAGAAGTTCAGCCGCAGCTTCGCCAACACGGTTGACAACTCCGAGATCCTCTTCGACTTCTCCAAGAACTTCATCACCGAAGAGACCCTCTCTCTGCTCGTGAAGCTCGCCAAGGAAGCTGGCGTGGAGGAGCTCCGCGATGCCATGTTCAAGGGCGAGCCCATCAACTTCACCGAGGACCGTGCCGTCTACCACGTTGCTCTGCGCAATGTCAGCAACCAGCCCATGCAGGTCAATGGCCAGAGCGTTGTCGAGGAAGTCAACTCCGTGCTCGAGCACATGAAGGAGTTCTCCGAGCAGGTCCGCAGCGGTGAATGGAAGGGTTACACTGGCAAGAAGATCAACACCATCATCAACGTCGGTATCGGCGGCTCTGATCTGTAAGTTTTCTATGTCTTCCTTCCTCCGCGGTGGATGTCATTAACATGAGGCTAGCGGTCCTGTCATGGTCACGGAAGCCCTCAAGCCCTATGGCGCCGATGACCTGACCCTCCACTTCGTCTCCAACATCGACGGAACTCACATCGCGGAAGCCCTCAAGCACTCCGACCCCGAAACCACCCTCTTCCTGATCGCTTCCAAGACATTCACCACCGCAGAGACCACCACCAACGCCAACACGGCCAAGAAGTGGTTCCTCGAGACTGCCAAGGATGATGCCCACATCGCGAAGCACTTCGTGGCCCTCTCCACCAACGAGGAGGAGGTGACCAAGTTCGGCATTGACAAGAAGAACATGTTCGGCTTCGAGTCCTGGGTGGGTGGCCGTTACTCCGTATGGAGCGCCATCGGTCTGTCCGTCGCCATCTACATCGGATTCGACAACTTCCGTGACTTCCTGGCTGGTGCCCACGCCATGGATAAGCACTTCCAGGAAACCCCTCTGGAGCAGAACATCCCCGTTCTGGGTGGTCTGCTGAGTGTCTGGTACAGCGACTTCTTCGGCGCCCAGACTCACCTTGTGGCCCCCTTCGATCAGTACCTGCACCGCTTCCCGGCCTACCTGCAGCAGCTCTCCATGGAGAGCAACGGCAAGGCCATTACCCGCACGGGTGAATACGTCAAGTACACCACCGGCCCCATCCTGTTCGGTGAGCCCGCCACCAACGCCCAGCACAGCTTCTTCCAGCTGCTCCACCAGGGCACCAAGCTCATCCCCTCGGACTTCATCATGGCTGCGGAGTCGCACAACCCCGTCGAGAACGGCAAGCACCAGCGCATGCTGGCTTCCAACTTCCTTGCTCAGTCCGAGGCCTTGATGGTCGGCAAGACCCCCGAGCAGGTCAAGACCGAAGGCGCCCCTGACAACCTGGTGCCCCACAAGACGTTCCTGGGTAACCGCCCGACCACCTCCATCCTCGCCCAGAAGATCACCCCTTCCACGCTTGGAGCCCTGATCGCTTACTACGAGCACCTCACCTTCACCGAGGGCGCTGTCTGGAACATCAACTCCTTCGACCAGTGGGGTGTTGAGCTGGGCAAGGTTCTTGCCAAGAAGATCCAGAAGGAGCTGGAGACACCCGGAGCTGGTGATGATCACGACGCTTCCACCAGCGGTCTGCTCCTGGCCTTCAAGAAGAAGGCCAATCTGGCTTAGAGTTATCTTGCCAATACTCTTTGGATGAACTGGGCAAAACTAAAAAACAATAAAACCGACATGTAATTCTTGACGAGGCATGAGTTATCACACATTTTTTTTTACTTTTTCTTTAACAAGCACACAGCTCAAATGGAAGACCATTGATTAATGGAGTGTTCGAATCACGTAGGGCACTAGTCCCCTTGCTTGACTGGCTGGTTGGCATGCGTAGTGTAGGGAAGAAAGCGCCCGTCAAATGTACCGGAGCATGAAGCCACGGATTTATTCGTAGGAAACTGTCCAAAGTATCATCGATTATCAAGGTCAATCAATGTGCACTTCGCGTCATCCAGACCCGAAAAAGACTAGTTATTGTCTTTGTTGTTGATCCTGCCGCGGCGAACAGTAAGTAGTACAGTCGTAGTGTCTATCTCTATCTAGTGCCCATCTGCCAAAACTCCGACCATCAATCACTCTTCCACCAGGAAATCCCCCCACTCTGGTGTCTCTGGCGTTGCAGCAACTCGTATAACATGTCCTCCTCCCAGAGGCGATCCCGCTCTATACTCGACTGGACTCGTGATTATGCATTGATTGCCATCCTCGTGCCGCAGGTTGCGGCAGCGGGGAAGAGTGATGTTGCCACTGTGAAGGCTGGGTATAGCTATGGACAGCCCATGCCGGTGACTTGTTTGAATCGGACAATGTGAGTTTTTTGACTTCATCCTAGGTGGAAAGAAACCCCTTAAAAACATCGTCAATGATTATGCTGACAGTCGAATGTAGTGATTCTGGAGAACATGTATGCGCATTCCCCCCTTTCTGCTCTACCGGCCTGGCTCTCAGAGTTCGGAACAACAACAACATACCTTCAAACCGCTCCAGGAGACTGGGTCATGTCCTAGTGCTAATTCAATCGGCTCCTCGTACGGATACAGATCACAGACAATCTCGGCAAACTGCAATTCATCCCCTTCCCCACCTGCAACGAGACCTTCCTCCCGCTCGCCCTCCGCTACGGCGTCACCGAGACCCTCAACTGCACCATCAACGCGCTCCCCGACGAGCTCTACCACCTCTTCGAATACTACGTCCACTCGGACGTCCCGCTAGCCTGCCGTGTCCCGACCGCGCCGCTCTCGCTCTCGCCATCTACACTACCACCCTCCCCGGACAAGGATAACGCTGGAGCCACCGACCTCGACGATGGAGGCCCGGCCTATACGCCCATCACCTTCGCGCTGCAGGGTACCCTCCAGCGCAGCCACCTCCACATCTGGACGGACATGAACGTGCTCGTCCACAACATCGCCTCGACTTCCGCCGCATCGAAGAAAAGCAAAAACAAGTCGAAGGCCAAAAAGGCGCGCCCCGGCTACGTCGTGGCGGGAACCGCATACTCAATCCCCGAGTTCGACGGGCCTTTAAACACAGAGGACAAACAGTCCGATGCGGATGCGGATGCGGATGCCCAAGCGGCTGTTGCGGTCGCTGAGGCGGCGCGCGACCCCTGGACTGCGGGTCACGGCACGAAGGTCGTGCGCGGCGAGCCGCTCACCTTCACGTTGCACGTGAGCTGGGTGGAGGGCGGGAAAGGCATCTGGTGGCCTACTGACGAGCCTGCGGCGGGGGAGCAGGCCGGAACGACGTCTTTCGTCTCGCGGATCTTCTTCTTTGCGATGGCGGCGGCGCTTGGTGCGGCGGGTGCGCTGTACTGGGAGCGGAATGCGGCGCGGCGTCGGGCGGGCTGGCGTGGGGATGGGATTCTTGGGGGCTCTGCTTCGCGCGGAAAGGGCTCGGTTGAAATTGGTTATGGCAATGGAGGGAAGATCAATGGGTATGGAGGCTATTCGGCGGCGGGCAACGGTGCCATGGCGGCTGGGGGCGGCGGTGGCAGCGGTGGATATGGCTACACAGGTGTTGGAAAGAGGGACTGATGGTGTTGTATGTATACGGCCATATGTGAGAGACGACTGTACTATGTATGCATTTGATGTTGGATTTTGAATGATGATGATATACGAACTCGCTGCACATGAAATCTACCAGACCATTGTTTTCTAAACAACGAAAAAAAAAAAAAAAAACAGACAGACACCAAGTAATAGAACAAATTGAACATAGCTATTTATACATGGCCGAATCGTCGGACAACACTTCGAGTCCACCGAATATAGCTCCCTTCACCCTGCCCCCGGCGCCCCCCCTTCTCAAGAAAAGAAGAGAGACAAAACCATATTTTCTTTGTACACCACCCCGAACATAACATCCCCAACACCCCAACTCACCAACCCTGCGCCCTCATGCGCTGAATCTTCGCCACCGTCTTATTAAACGAAAACTTGAACAGCTTCCTCCACCGCTCCATGCGCAGATTCTTCCGCATCTGGCCCCTCCGCACATGGAACTTCTGCCCATGCCACTGCGCCCGCACCTTGTTCGTCGCAATGTTCGCCTGCAGCACGCGCAGCGCCGCAGTCAGATCCGTGCCCCGCTCCGGCTCAACATGCACCTGCCGGCCCAGCGTGGGGCCCAGCTTCAGCTCCACGCGCCGCGCCGCCGGCTGCCGGTAGTTCTCCGTCTCGGCGGACAGGCTGACCGCGCGCGAGAGCGAGAGAGGGTCGGCGAAGGGGGCGGAGTGGGCTGCGGTGGTGGGGCCTTGGCTGCCTTCGTGGGCTGGTGTGTTGCTGTTGCTGTTGCTGTTGCTGTTGCTGTTGTTGAGGTTGAGTTGGTCAAGGATCCGGTCGAAGTCTGTTGAGCCGGCGGAGGGAGGAGAAGGGGGTTGGTCTGTGTTGCTCGAGGGAGCTTGGGAGAGGCGGCGGGCCGTGGAGAAGGGTCGTAGGACATTCTGGCTGCGGAGGAGGGTAGGCTGCGTGCTGGGCAGGGAGGATGTCGGCCTCAGACGGAGGCATCGGGCCAGGGATCGCGCCTCCATTGTCTTGGATATGAGGCGGGTTTGGCGAGATCGCAGCGCTAATGAACAAAAATTGGGGGATCAAAGCTCAAGGGCTCTCCAGGATCGAGGGATGGGGTTCGGTTGGGTTGGGTTGGGTGGAAAACGAGAGACGCTGGCGTCGACTGGACTGGACTGGACTGGACACTGGCTGGGAAATCTGAATCTCGCCGACTTTCTTTCCTCCGGACGGAAATCTGCACGCACGTGACTTGCTCGCTGTTATAGATCGATGCTCCACGGCCGAAAACAGATCCATGCGCCCACCCAACATCGAAAGACACAAATACAAACTAGATAGATTTGGTTAGATTTTAGAGGCTCGCTCAGGTTACTATTCTATCCAGAAAACTCGCACCGCAGCATCGCAGCTGGCCCCCCCCAGCCAAAGCATGTCGTCAATCACGATAGCAACTCTTCCCCGCATGACTCGGGATGTCCTCTCTGAACTTCTCCTTCTCACCAGCTCCCCGAGCAAGCTTGCCGTCATCGACTTGCGGGATTCCGGTACGCTGAGCTGAGTCCCCTCTCTCCTCCCCATCTCATTTCTTCCCCTGGCTAAGAGCATCCCCCAGACCACATCGGCGGACACATCCACTCCTCAACCTGGGTGCCAAGCTCCACACTGGACTATCGCATGCCCGAGCTCGTCCGAACACTCAAGGACAAAGAGAAAGTCGTGTTCCACTGCGCTCTGAGCCAGCAGCGTGGGCCGTCTGCGGCTCTGCGCTACGCGCGAGAGCGAGAGGCAGCGCTCGGGCCCGAGGAGAGTAAGAAGCAGCAGGTGTATGTCCTCGAGGGCGGGTTCGTCCAGTGGCAGGAGAAATATGGGAATGATGCGCGTCTGACGGAGGCGTATGTCGAGGATATTTGGAGAGAGTATTGATCGTGCTCGTGCTTGTGCTCGGCGGGGATGCTGCGTCGGTTATTGGTTGCGTTGAGCGTTCGTCGTTGTCGGACTTTGAGCAGTGTCCGTCTTTGCAGCTTCTGAGGGGGTGCGCAGGTATATGGGCTCTGTCAGGAGTTTCTCAGCCTGGTGCTGGAACGGTTCTTCAAACATGCGGCTCCTAGGGAGGAAACATACGGCACATGGTGGCGCTGCTGACGAGATACCGTCCAGTGTGGTATATATGGATCTATCGTACAATTTGTCTATATGATCATACATTCCTCGGACGAGACCCAAGGAGGAACCCTGCAATCCTACATCTGCACAGTTCCACCAAACCCGACTGGTCTCCTCTGGCCACCGTTCTCTGGAATGATGGCCATGAACTTGTAGATCTTACCCATGCCGCCGCCTCCCCTCTCAACCAGCCTCTTCCAGCCGCTCTCCAGAGTCTTGCGCTTCTCCTCATCCTTGATTCCCTTGAGCAGCTGCTGCATACGCTCGGCAATGCCCATGACTTGCAAGAAATCTCCCTGCTCCACCGGTCCGTGGACCTCCACGCCCTCGCTGGCGTCAATGGCCGCTTCTGCCAGTGCAATGAAATCCACATCGGCGCTCACGTCGACCTGACCGGGCGATGAAAGCGCTGGCACGTTTCGGTGATTCTGGATCCCGCGGAGCGAATTGACAGGAATCGTCGACATCGTTCCATAATCCATGATCAGCGCCGCGCCAGATGGGACCCGCTTAGGCTGTACCGGGCCAGCATCCTGGCGGTTGACAGTCCGCGGCGGCTGCGACGAACCTCCAATGCGACGGGCAAAGTCCGATGCATAGACGCGGCTTTCCGGGCTGATCTCGATAGTCGACCCGGGCTGGGACTTGAGCTTTCGATAACGCTCCGATATCTCTGGGATCACCAAGGAGGATGGTGTTGATGCTTTGGCTAGTGTCAATTTGAACTCCGGCTCGCCTTCTTTGTTCTCCTCCACCGCTTCCGGGTTCAGTGTCACCATGATTTCACGCCACTGAGGAGTGTTGGCGGGTTTCATCGGCTGGTGTAGCTTTGCGGGGCCGGTGGGAGTCATGATCTCGCTCTGCTCGGTCTGGGATTCGGGTGCTGGGGGAACAGACTCGAAAGCGTGTATAGGTAATGCGTCGAAAAACTCGTGAGCGAAGATAAACGGCGTCGTTCCCTCTTCTAGGTACAACAGTTAGTAACCGGTCGCCCAAAGTCAAATGACCGCTCGGATACCAATCTTCCTTACCATGAGGTAGAAGTCGAATATCTTCCACCCAGATCACTGGGACATTGAAGTACTTGCTCGTGCTCCGGTGACCAATGTCCGTCTCCTCCATTGGTGCATCCCCGCAAAGGCGCTGTTTCTGAACCTCCCTCAACGTCGGGCTCGCTTCCACAAGGTATATGGCCTCAATGCTCGAAGAGAAGCTCTTGAAATTCTGAAACGTCTAGCTCAATAACCCCGTCAGTAAAAAAAAGAAAGAAAGACGCTCTAATCTCCAGCTCCCCGGATTGAAAAAGGGGAAGACTCACCCGCAGCATATCGTCCATCAACGTCCCCTTCCCCGGCCCAACTTCAATTAGCTGTACCCCGCTACGTTTGCGCCCCTGCGCCATCCATTCGGTAATCGTCCATACCGCCACCAGCTCCCCAAACACTTGTGAAATCTCAGGGGACGTCACGAAGTCGCCCTTCTTCCCGAAAACCTCGCCGCCGCCTTCTGGTCGAGTCGTGTAGTAGCCGCCTTCCGGAGAGGTGAGAACTTGGCGCATAAACGCCGAAATGGGGATCGGGCCTGTGATCTTGGAACAGAAAGGGTGTTAGTTAGACTGCGGCTGCGAAGATCGGGCACGGGAGGGACACACCTTGATCGCGTTTGCTAGTGTCTTTGCCAGTGGCGTCGACCACTGTCGCTGGTCAAATGTGGAGGAGCATCTGTGCGATCCTAAACGAAGATTCCTGGGCTGACATGCTCGGACATGTCTTGTCCAGGCACGCCGCGCATTGTTCATCTTTGAAGCTCCGATGCTCTTTGCAAACGGATGTCGTGGACAAATGGGTCGACTTGCGATGGGAGCCGGTTATTGATTTTTGCGGATACGCTCAACTGAGCAATGCATGCTCGAGGATGTTTCCGGTATGTAATTGATATCTGGGACCTGTCTGTACCCTCAGATACTGTGATGCGCTGGTCGTCATTGTCTCCAACTTCTCCACAGCACGAAAGTTTGGGATCACGTGACGTTATCTTATCGAAACTACGACGATTAAATTACAGCTCATAACCTATCAGAAAAGTCACTGACACAAATATACTTCCCAAAGTTCCTGGCCGAAAATTCCCTAGTATCACAGTTGTAGATGTCGACAGAGAGTAAGTCAAAATTGTCGTCAGGACCAGAAGAAACACAATTCAAGGGAGTCTCCAAAAATTCGAGGGATAAGTCAGCGATTTACCAGTGTCGTCCGCTTCTGTTTCCAGATTTCTGTGTAGACCCGTCAACCATCATTTGATCGCTGTAAAGACCGGTCTCTTGTGTATTTTGATTTGCCTGTCTGCCACCTCTTCCGTGTGTCCTGTTGCCTCTGGCATTGCGCCTGTTGTAACGACCACTGCCCGCTGATTCGTCGCGACCTAGACCCTGATTGGCCTTTTCGCCAAATCCGTAGTTTCCATCTTGCACGATGGGGTCTGCGCGGCGGTTCATGTGACGCTCGCGCTCCGCTTGCTCGCGAAGGTCGTCGAATGATGATTGTGGTTTCTGAGCGCTTGCGAAGGGCGCCGATCCGATAGTCGACTGCTTCATGCGCATCGAGATGATCCTGCCATCAGCCTTGTATTTGTCAGTCAATGATATATAACAGCATTCTTCGGAAAGACTACCCTCTGGTTGTGGAAGTTGGCAATGACATTCTCTGCTGACCATTTCTCCGCCAACGTGATCTCGGCAGTAACCGTAGGGTGTTGCGAGGTGATCCAACAGCTCATGATGGGCCCAGAGACAGGTTCTAAAGCAGACTGAATGTCTGCAGCCGTAGTGCCCGGGGCAAAATTGCTCCCGACGACAACGAAAGGCCCCGACCCTGCTCCCCGAATGGTCATTCCGACCTGATTGTCGCGAACTGTAGCCTGTCCGCTCGCAGGATTAAGAGCGGAGAGAAGGCGATCCTCATCTGGGCGGCGTTTATTGACGCGTTTTGGTTGTGTAGGTACTGGTCGTGCTGGGGCTGAGGGAGTGCGGTTGTTCTTTTTTGTAGGTTTGGGGACATTTGCGGCGGCAGGCTGAATACTCCGAAAAAAAGACATCAGTGTCTATTCTTAACCAGTCATAAAGAGAGTAAGAGCACGTATCTCACCTTTTTTGTCACGCCAATCCGGCTCGCTAGACTGCCTGGTGTCGCTTTCTGAGGCTTGTTACCCGCACCTGAGCCTGCGGCTGTTTTTCTGCTCTTTCCCAAAATTTTGCTTGCGAGTTCTTCATTCTTCCTCTTTTTTCGGTCTAGATATTCATGACATGGTCAGATAGGGAATGCAGACGAGCTTCTTGCGACGACGCATTGGCACCTTACCCGCTTGAATGATGGCATCGAAGGAGACAGCTCCTTGGCTGGCGGCCATGGTGAAAAATGGCGCGGTTGGGACGAGTTTATGCAGAAGGAGGAGACAAGCTGATACCAAGAAAGTATGAAAACCAATGGAAAAATCTCTAATAAATATTTGGGGATGTGAGCTGGAGAAGTTTTGGTGGATATAGGAGGAAGAAGCTGAGCATAATCAATAGCGTAGGAAAGAGGCAATAATCTCGAAGCTTGTCGCATTTTGGCTGCAGCTGGCCGGCGCTGAGCAACACCGAAAGTACCAAACAGGACCCGCCAGCCAGCTTCAATTAACAACATGCTTTTACTCATCTTTATTTTTCACGATACAACTGAAGGAAACTTATATATATATAAATATAGAAGATAGATTGGAACATAATTAGAGTCCTTTGTAAGCAGCTGATTTGTTTACATCGATTGGTGTGTTGTTCAGTGTTTGATCGAGCCTCAGCATTTCCTCCTCTGGCAGGTGTCGTGTATACTTCCGGTGCAGTGAATATGGAAGTTACAACCCAGTTGGCCCCAAGTGGACTTTTCCTTCTGTCCAACATCACTACCGATCCAGGATCCAGCTGGCATGATATCGTTCATTCACTACAGGGAGCTCTTCCACCCCATGCTTCCTTTTCTCTCTTGTCTCATCGTCTTCTGGTGCATCCATCCATCTCTTCAGATATTCTTTCTTCATATCGACAGTCTACCTACTTCTCTGATGTGCAAAGAGTTCACACGCAAAGCTTCTGTCCCCTGTTTCTCTGAGATCCAACAGTCTGTGTTACTGCTGCTGCTGCTGCTGCTTTTGATTCCCCAGTCTTTCAAAAAGGCATCTATCGACACCAGAAGATGGTTTTGGACGGACAAAGAACCAGCCGCCAGTCGTTGTCCTCATCACTAGCAATTCGTTTGCCGTCGAGAAAGAGAGATAGGTACTACCTCCCATTTTCGATATCCCACGGAATTCAGGTTAATTAGATGCTTTTAGGATCGCGCGGCCAGCCGACACCTCATCGTTCTGCGAGGAGATTGCGCACTATCCTGTCTTCAACCCACGAGACCCACGACACAATCCTGCTGCTTCGAGCTCGTGGCTTCAAAGCGATTACTATCAGTCGGAGGCCTCCAAATCCCAGAGCTCGATTCGTTGGATGCAAGAATTGCCAAGGAGATCTTTACGCAAAGCGAAATCAGGACTCTTGGCTCTGCGCTCTGGAATCCAACGACGACCACTTCCTGACAGTATGCAACATATTGGTGACATACCCAACATCTGGTCCTCAACTGATTCGACCGGAGACTCGTCTGACCAGTTCCCATCCTCAGTGTCAGACGCTAGCACTGAAGACGATGGCGAATTTGGCACTGGCTTGTATCGAGCGGTTCGTAACCATTCCTCGCCTCTCTATGCAAACATGGAAAGCGACGGCCTCAATGTTCCGTCTGCCACCGGCTTGCTATGCGGTTCCTTAAGCGAGAGTGTGAGCCAAGGTAGCTCGCCAACGCTGAGACAAGAACCGGCGATCAGTGATTCTATCGGCATCAAAGCCAACGAGATTGCTTTGGATCCGGGGATGAGGGGTCTTCTGCGACAGGGGCCAAGACTTGATAATCGCAAGACCAATGAGCTGTTGGCACAGGTTCAACAATCGAGCCATTTCCCGTCCACCTCGTTACCTAGTAGTATCGTTGGGCTAAGTGTGACACAGGCAATTGAAAAAGCATCTTCACAGAGCTCGCCGAACTTGCAGCTCACTGCTAGTCACGTCGAGAAAACATGTGCGCAGTTCCAGACTCAAAGCTCTGGTCTCTCCAGCCTGGAAACCTCGAAGCCCAATGCAGCTAAGGAAGCCGCAGAACTGCTCGATTCCAGCAGAGGAGCGCCTGATGAGCTATCTCGAGGTCATGAAATCGACTCACTCGATGAAAACACCCGACTAAGTGACACCTCTCCGCAGATCGAAGAGTCAAGCTGTTCTTTGAGGAAGTCACCGATTGTGAGCCCTCGTCAGTCAAGTGTGCCCCAGATAACAGGCATCCAACTGGTCATGGAGCCTCTCCAATTATTTCCTCGAAGAGATTCCAGCAGCGGCGGTCAAACCTTATGTTGCAGCGAGATTACCAACAATCATCCTCACCAAGAGACAAGCATCGGCGATTTTATTGGCTGTGTTGCGAGCGAGGATATGGGAGAGTCTGCACACATGGAGAATAGTCCCTTGGATGCAGACGAAGGACAGGTTTCTCAAATGGATGCACGAGCCATTGTTAGTGTCGCTTCCAGATTGGCCAGGTCATTGTTAACCGATCCATAGGAATCAGCGGATGTGGGACCAGAAATGCCAGAAGAAGAGAGCGCCGGCGAGGTGCTTCCTATACTGAACAAACCTAATATAACGAACATCCACGAAGATTCAGACTCGTTTATTATCGAAAGAGCGCATTCTCCATGTCATACCGAAGACAATGCAGTTACTGAGATTGCATCCGAGTCGAATTCGTGGTCACCAATCGAAAATGAACTCCCAATACCCACGTTCTCTTTTCGAGACGAATTCTTCTTTGTCGATGGCAAATCGAGCGATATTCGGCCAGATCGGGGCGATAATCCTACAAAAACAGCACGACGAATCGCGAGAGACGGGAGCATTTACAATGGCCCAGGGCTTGATCGTAATACATCGGTCAGGACACAAGATATTCCCGAGATCATTGGACCGGGAAGATCACTCTATAGAATGCAAGATCCACGCACCGGGAGCCTTTTCAGGCTTGACCGCGATGGAAGCGATTCCACAGATGACTGTACTGTCACTTATCCGGTTTGGGAGAGACGCCAATTCCCATGATGTCGAAGGGCATCTGGTATTTTTGTTATAGGTCCAAAGCACAATTGCGTATCCCATTGGATTTGGCAAAATGCGAATGTCAGCCACACAGATATCTCTGTATTCTTAAAGCACCTTGTATGATTATGCCTCGAATTTTTGCAGTCTCTTACGGGTATTGAAAGGGTTTTTGGGCAAGATTTGGACATGACGATTATCTTGCATGAAGGATCCGTGGCGAAACCACGGCAGCCATGTCAATAGTTAATTGGACACCGAGTCTGCTTCACTCATGTTTCTGAGAGAAGCAATGTGGTATTTTGTAGAGTCTTCAAGTCTCATATACTCTCTTCGCAGCAAGAGTACATGCTAGCCCAGCCGCAACGTAAACCCAGCACCTGCCTCTTCTGTATCGCCGCCGGATTGACCACCGAAGACACTTGCGAAATCCAGGCTGGGGGCTTCCTGACCCCGTTTGGGCGCCTCTGGGGTCTCCCGGCGCCTTCGTTTCTCCATACCTGCTTTGGACGGAAAAGTGGGGAACATTTCCTTCGGTTTGGGGCGAGGATCCTCCTTGAAGTACTTATGTGAGAGACACTGCTGAGTTGAGGGACGTGCGCGGGGATTCAGAGCCAAGAGTGACGAGAGAAGCTCCAGGCCAGCATTAGTGAGGAAAGGGAATTTTGAACGGGGCAGTAGCGGAAGGGCTCCAGATCCCGATGAGGAGGACGTGGGTGGCAGACGCAGGGATTTAGCATTAGGAAGCGAGCGGAAGCCTGGCCAGTTCTGCTGCGTTGGAGGGCCGGTGAGAGCGAAGATCTGGATTGGAAGGTTAGCGTCTATCGAGTCTATTTCGGAGATCTGACCCAACAGGGAGTTCTCACCTTGGATACCTGGTCGACCTCATTCTTGCCCTGGAGCAGGGGTTCTTTCGTGAGCAGCTCGCCGAGGACACAGCCGATACTCCACATGTCGATTTCCGGGCCGTATTTCTCGGCGCCGAGCAGCAGCTCCGGGGCACGGTACCAGAGGGTCACGACCAGCTGGGTCAGCTTCGGCGGCGGGTCACCGTAGTAGCGCGCCATGCCGAAGTCTGCGATTTTGATCTCGCCGCGGTTGTTCATGAGGAGGTTCGAGGTCTTCAGGTCGCGGTGCATGATCCAGTGGGAGTGCAGGAAGTCGAGACCCGAGAGGACCTGCAGGAGCAGGGTCTTGATCTCCGAGGGGAGGAACGGTTCGCGCATGTCGTCGAGTAAGGTTTTCAGATCATGTTCGAGGAAGTCCATGACGAGGAAGACACTGTTTGGTTGGGGAGGGGAGGAGGTGCCCGTGGCCCCGACTTGGTTAACACAGCGTACCTTGAACTTTTCAGGAAGAGACAGGGAAGGCTTTTTATCAGGCCGGTGATTGTAAGGGAAAGCAGGAAAGGGAGGAAGGGGGAAGGGGAAGAGGCAATGCATACTCATCCATTTTACTCCCCATCACCACCTCACGCAGATACACGATGTTCGCATGCCGCGCCTCCAGCAGCGTCTGGATCTCCCGCAGCCCCGTGACAGGGAACCCATCCGTCGCCGTCTCCATCTTCAGCTTCTTAAGAGCCACCACCTCGCCCGTCATGATGTCCTTGGCGCGACTCACCCACCCATACGCGCCCTCCTCGATATGATTCAGCCGCTCGAAGTTATCGACATGCCGACAGGGACCCCACGCTTGCCCCGGGGGGAAGAACAGGAGCTTCGGTTCCTTCTCCTCCGCCGCCGCTGCGGATACGGCCTCCTGCTCCATCTGCTGCTGAGGCTGCTGGTTCGCGAAACGTCGCCGTTTGGGCGGAGGTTCGTCGGCGTCGCCATTGGGCTCGTCATGCGCGTGCGAGACGGACTGAGCTTGTGTCTGTTCGTCAAGCTGGCGTTGTTTTGCGGCCTTGGCGCGTTTTTTCTCTTCCTTTTCGCGTTTCCGTTGCGCAAGGAGAGCCTCTTCCTCTGGGTCGGAGGCGGCCCACCGTGACGATTTCGAGGGGGCAGACATTGCCAATCCCGTTGGTTGGGGATTGTGGTGACCCTGGAAATTGCGAATTTGATTATTCTAGATGAAATTGGGTAGATACGAATTGGTGGTGATTCGGGGGGGGGAGAGAGAAAGATTGTTGTTGGTTAGCTGGTGAGCATTGTCTGATGACGCTATCGGGAAGAAACACTGGGGAATGTGAGCAACCGAATCCCATCGCCGATTTCAAATCCTCCCCCCCCGCCTTGTCCCGCCGAGCATTATTTAAATCGAGGACGTCAGGAGGGGCATTTGTTCTTATTTCAAAGCAGATTTATTTACATTTAGTATCTCGCTGGGCTGTTTTATTGTTTGGATATTTATCAGAGTCTTATACTACCCGGCGATATGATCGAACCTTTCCAGGTCTGTTTCCTCCTTGTGGCCCGGTTATAGTTGCACAACGCTGTATGCTGAGCTGACTTGAGTGCAGACGACCTTTGCGGTCCCGATGACCTGCGAGAGCTGCGTTCAGGATGTGTCGAGCTCGCTCTATAAGTTGGAGGGTTCGTGCTTACGCCCAATAGCAACGTATAGCATACAAAAGTACTTATAGCCGCCTAGGAATCAACAAGGTCGAGGCCAACCTCAAGGATCAACTGGTGTTCATCGAGGGTACCGCGCCACCCAGCTCGATCGTGAACGCTATTCAAGCTACTGGCCGGGATGCCATTCTACGCGGAAGCGGCACATCAAATAGTAAGTTGCATGACATGTTGGTCTGTTGGTACTTTTTTTTTTTTTTTTATTTCCGGGGCAAGACCATACTGAGATCCATGGGGTATGATAGGCTCAGCCGTCTGCATATTCGAGACGCATTCGACAGCCGTACCGAATAAGATCCGCGGCCTCGCTCGCATGGTGCAAGTCTCCCCGACCATGACGCTCGTGGACTTGACGGTCAACGGGCTGGCCCCGGGCAAATACTGGGCGACGGTTCGGGAAGCAGGTGATATCTCACGCGGGGCGGAGTCTACGGGGGGCATCTGGGAGGCCTTGAAGGCGAAAGTGACGGGCGGCGAGGCGCCCAAGGAGCCGCGCGGCATCTTTGGGAGCGTGGATGTGGACGAGAAGGGCCGGGGCAACGTGTTTCTGGATCGGCCAGTGGCCATCTGGGAGATGATTGGAAGGAGTATGGTTCTGTCGAAGAGCGCGGAGGGACCGTTCCGGCGCGAGGATCCTGACACGCTGGTCGGGGTAATTGCGCGCAGCGCGGGTGTCTGGGATAATGACAAGATGGTGTGCTCCTGCTCCGGGAAGAATGTCTGGCAGGAGCGGCAGGAGCTGGTGGCCCAGGGGATGGTGTAGGAGTACTCTCAGGTCTCATGTTCCATGCCTCAGATCTTCAGATATTGATTGATGCGACCACGTCTTCCTACTGCGCAAATGTGATTCTATGATACCTATCTCGGAGAAAATGTCAATTGAAGATGCAGGAGAGACTGCAGATGCATGCACAAGCAGCAATGACCGAGATTGCGCAAACACCAGAGTGGAGGGAAGAAGGGGGGGGTTACTCTTCTGTCATCTGCTGGTCGTTCAGGCCGTCAAGGCGTCCTCCTCGGGACTTGGGTCGTTCCGAATTGACCGATGCGTTCTGAGGACGCGCAGAGCCCAGTCATGATAGCAGTCAGATCCTCCGTCGTGAGCAGACAGTCATCTCCCTCGGACGATCCTACAAGAGAACAGTCATCATCATCTCCTCCTCGACGGCAGCCAGCCATTCAGTGCTCCGACAGTTGTGCCGTCAAGACTCGCGATAACAACAGCGCGGCATGCACGACAGAACCGGCACGACCTCGAGACTAAATATAGACGACCATCGTCTTGAGGGCAGCAGGGAGAGGCCGATCATTGGGCCGCGAGTGCTTTCTCCTGCATCGGTATTCGAGTTTATCCCTGTCTGAATTCGATGACAATGTTGTTTTTTTTTTTTTTTCTTCTTTCCTTTCTCTTTTCTCCTTGCATGGGTACTCTAGACTAGATAGTAACTAGTTAGTTCCAGTTGGTGGCTGCCATGCTATCAACAACCTCTGATCAATGAGGGCCCTAGCGGGGGATTACAACCTCCCCAGGGGACGGTGATAGGTGGTAACGATTAATAGGGCCATCGAATCCTCGCGAGAGTCCCAGTGATTAGTGCCGAAGAGGGGAATCTCATCTCCTGACCTGACCTGAAGAGATGGATTACATAGTATGTGAGTAGACTGATAGACTTCGATCCCGATCCCCAGTATACTCTCAAGCGCCGTGGCGGGGGGATTGTGGACCAGTCTAAACCAGTTAATTGTCTTTGGCATGTTGGAATTGTTCCGTGCATGGATATAATTAGAGATGATCGAACGTGATAGCGAGATTTGAAGGATTTCATCATTTCATATGTTTGGTTGCAAACTTCCCCAATTGCTCAGAATTTCCCTCATGATCTGGTGATAGACTGTTGTTAACTGAAGAGGGAATCGGGTAGCGAGAAATAGATCGATACAGAGTACGGAGTAGGTAGTCAGGATGGGAACGGCCCGAACGGGCCCCTGGGGTCAATTGTTATTTGCTAGTAGTAGTAGTAGTAGTAGTATTAGCAACAGAAGGATAGCTAGATTGATTGAATGTTCCACCGACAACGTCTTGTCTGTTGGGCTGCAGGGAAATCCAGCTAATAATAATCCAGTAGGAGAAATAACTAATCCTGGCTGATGATGCTTTTCTTTTTTCTTTTTCTTCCCGATGATGGGCGCTTAACACACCCTCCAGTATCAAATCATCCCTCTCTGCTCTCTTCATCACTCTCGCTTAGCTTCATCCGTCATGATTCCCCCCTCCTCTTTCGATCATTAGTGTCCGATTCGACTTCTCTTTTGGGCCATCTCCGATCTTCTCCAGGCTCGCTGGTCCCAAATCTAGTCAATGAGCAATAGTCACCTCCTCGATCCCTGTCGACGCTGGGGTTTTTCTTTTGCTGCAGGCCGCATCGACGTTCCTTGCTTCTCCCTCTCTGCCTCCCCTTTTTTTTTTTTTTTTTTTTTTTTGCCCCTCTGAAGATTCTCGTTTCTCTCCGCTTTCCCGGTTTTGTTCTTGAGCTTCTCACCTGTATACACACCGCACAACTGGCGTTCAAGACCAGCCCAAATAGACAGCAAAAACCAGCCGGTGAACAATTCATTTCATGATAATTAACAAGCGACGGAATCTCGCAATATCAAAACAGATGATCAGACCACATCTCAAACTTCTTGTTCTTCTTGAGCAGACGAGCAGCAATTGGGCTAGTGGCTTCCTCCAAGCTCAGGCGATCTAATTATAACTCTCAACCTATCTTTCATCCTCCAGGATCAACTCAAAAAGAGTCGAGTCGACTACTCGAGAGTCGAGACTAGTCTAGTAGTCTTGGGGCTCGGCTGGGCTGTCTGTTCACCGTCCAGAAGGTCACAGAGCTTCAGATCGCACGACACACCCTTACTGGATCCCACGACTCGGCACTCAAGCCACACAGACAACACCACCACGAGAGCAGAGACATCCAGATTAGTCCTACAGCCAGAAGGGAGAAAGGCTCCCCCTTTCTTCAAAGGGCCCCTGCCTCTCCCCTCCCCTCCCCGCCCCGCAGCATTAGTTCGGCCTGCATCATATTCTCTCGGGGACCTCTCTCTTTAATAGTTCAGACCCCTGCTCATTGCGCTGGTCCACTATCTCGCATGGAAAGAAAACCGGTCAGCTTCTTGGCTTTTTCCTTTTCCTTTCCCCTTGACGGTCGTATATAATATTACGCTACGTTCATATCGGGCGCTGCAGTGGGCGAGGATCCGTCCATACTCGTCCCTGTTTGCTTCTTAGGATTACAGACAGCTAGAAAGTGCCTCGGGTTGGGGAGTAGGACGAGCCACATCACTCATCGCACCCTTAACTCCCTGGGTCGCTTCTAGTTGGTCTCTGGAGCAGACATCGAACCCTAATACGTCGGCTGCGACAATGTCACTCAAACAGGTATGATCTTGTCAGGCCGATCCCAGGAAAGAAAAAGCCTGATGCTGACGGAAGTAATAGGAAATTGAGACATGGGTGCTGGCGCTCGAACATTATGATCATCAAGAGTATGAAGAGGCCATCAGGATATTTGGTCACATCGCGGATACATCCAAGATCTACTTCAACTGTGGTGTCATCTATGCCACACTGGGGGAACATGAGAAAGCGGTATGGGTGTCCTTCCAACATGCGCGGACTCTGCTCATGCTCCTTCAGGTCCAATGCTACCAGCGCGCCGTCGGTTTAGACCAATATCTTGCCATTGCGTACTTTCAGGAAGGCGTATCCAACTTCCTTCTCGGAGATTTCGAGGAAGCATTGGCCAACTTCAACGACACTCTGCTCTACCTCCGTGGCAATACCTCTATTGACTATGAGCAACTGGGGCTGAAGTTCCGGCTGTTCTCATGCGAGGTCCTTTTCAACCGTGGACTTTGCTACATCTATCTGCAGCAGATGGGCCCAGGCATGCAGGACCTTGAGTATGCAGGGAAGGAAAAGGTCACTCCAGATCACGACGTGATTAACGACGCTATTCGGGAAAAGGCAGAGGTATGGTCCATCGTGGGTCACGGGGTGAGTTGCTGCCGCTAACGGAAGCAGGGATACACGGTCTTTTCCATCCCCGTCGGGGTTATCTATCGACCCAATGAAGCCAAAGTCAAGAACCTGAAAACCAAGGACTACCTTGGCAAAGCCAGGCTGATTGCAGCATCGTCGCGGGGAAACACCCCCCCAGACCCGACACGAGCGCAGGCAGCGATCGATGACCGTCCACCTGAGAACATCTCCTATGGTGCAACAAACCTGGTTCAGAAGAATATCACCGGTCGGAGCCGTCAGCAATCGGAGCCACCGCTGAACCGCACCTTCTTCCCGCCAACGCCGCCTCCGGATGCCGATAAGGCCAGCACAAAGAGCTCGTCTGGGAGTAGCATGGGTGCAACCGGTCGCCCAGGGTCGATGCGAGCCGCACGGCCTCCGCGCCTCAATCTGGATCGGCCTGGCGCGCAGATTCAAGGGCGAAGTAGCACGGACGTGCCCGCTCAGGACAAGCCCCGGATAGGGACAACCCGGACCGCGTCAGAACCTCGTGGACCCCCGTGTCGACAGTACCCGCGGGGACCCAACGGTCTAGAGACGGATCGAAACCCATCGTTCCGGGAGATAGGAGGCCACCGACGAAACGCTAGTGACACGGGGTTTGCGCCGAGCGCTCCCGCGGCCTATGAGGACGATGGATTCGGAGTCTACTCGGGTACTCGGTCCATGAATGGCGGCCGAAGAGGGGTACCACAACAACGATACATCGACGAGGAAGAGGAGTATGAGGGCGTCGGGGGTCACGAACGGGTGCCTCGCGATGGTGCTGAGGGATCCGAGAACTCACAGCGACGGACAAGGTCCCCGACCCGAGAATCAAGGCGTGCTGATTCACGACGGCCGTCAGTCCACCGATTTAGAATCAAGGTGCACGCTTTTGAAGACACGCGATATATCATGATTGGACCCACGATCGAGTATGGTGAGTTTGAGACCAGGATTCGGGAGAAATTCGGCTTCCGGGCGCTGCTACGGATCCGGATGCAGGATGAGGGCGATATGATCACGATGGTAGATCAGGAGGATCTTGATCTCCTGTTGAGTTCAGCTACGGAGACTGCTCAACGGGAGGGAAGCGAGATGGGAAAGATGGAGGTGAGTTGCATTTGGTGTCGCGCTTTTCGCTGTGAACAAAGTCTGACGGGTTGTAGATATGGGTCGAAGAACGACCGATGATATAATGATTCTGGCCTTGGGAAGTTCACGCTCTTTTGCATAGAGAGAGGGTAGCCGATTTCTCTGCTTTGCATACTGGGTGCTTCTATTTGGTTCAATGTCGCATGATTTATACCCTTATGATTTAGTATGAGTTGATGTTCTTACTTCTTATGTATGTATATTGGATACCCGATTGAATGATACACATGTTCCTCAGGGATCACATGTTCGAGGAAGCAGAATATAAGCAGGATGAATTGTGCGTCAGGGAATACAAACTCCTCTGACCATCCCCCCCTGGTAAAGACTGTAGAGTTGTCTTACTCCGAGGCTGGTCCAGTGACTAGGGCATGTGGGATCACGGGTGCGGGCGGCGGGACAGACCCACTGCGCAGTGAGTGACGTTGGTTGTTGACAGCAAGACATCTGGATAGCTTCAAGTCCACCGTTCCCTGCCGTCCTGCAGTCCAATTCAACGCCACTTCCTCAACCACCCACACACCAATGCTCTACCCATCATGACCGACCTTACGCCCACACTCAGACGCCTGCTCAAGGAGAAACATGCCATCACAACGGCGCGACCAGAACCTCGTCTCCCATCGTCAGAGACAACAGACGAGTTCCTTAAAGAAGCATACCGAATAGTCCGTCTTCCTCCCTCTTTTTGTTTTTTTTTTTTTTTTTTTTTTTTTTTTTCTCTAATTTTCCCCATCTCAATATACTTTTCCAACTAACATCAAACATCAATAGAACTTCCACATAACCTCCCTCCTCAGCTACCTACACTCCATCCGCCCCGCCTACCTCGCCCTCAACCCCAGCACCAGCACCAGCAGCACCTCTCCCTCACAGCCCAACAAACCACTCACCGACCCGGAACGCGACTCCATCGACTCCTCCACCACCCTGCTCCTGACCACGCTCTCGACCTCCCTCTCCAACCTCTCCACCGCCGAATCCCTCCGCCAGGAAACAACCACCAACCTCCTCCGCCAAAAACACCAGCCCTCGCCCCTCCGCCGCTGGGCCGCCGGCTCCGCCCTCTCCTCGCACACCGCCCCAGAGGAAGACCAGGCCCGCACCCTGCACACCGTCCACGACACGATCCTCTGGTTCCTGCGGCGGGGGCTGGAGCGCGCCGTCGCCGCGCACCGGACGCTCGTCGAGCGCCGCCTCGAGCGCGCCCGCGAGAAGGAAAAGAGCGTCCTCTACAAAACCGACACCCGAGCCGGACCATCGGCGTCGGCGTCGGCGTCGGCGTCGCTGGCCGGCTCGGTCGAGCTCGGCCGTGGCGATGTCTCCGTGGACGCGGGCGAGGCGGCGGCCATCGAGGCGGCGCTGTCGCCGGCGCAGCTGCAGCTGTTTGCGGAGGAGAATGATTCACTCCTGCGGCAGTATGAGGATACGTTAGGGAAAGTACAGTACGTTTTTTTTTTCTCTTTTTTTTTTTTTTTTTTTCTCCGAGTTTCCCCTATTTTCCTTAAAAGGAAAAAAAAAAACAAAATGAGAGACAAGGGTTAGATTTCGAGTCAGAACTAGGCTAAACAACCCGGAAACCCCACAGGAACGCAGAGAAATCCCTACTTGAAATCTCCTCGTTGCAGCAGACGCTCGTGTCGCATCTCTCGACGCAGGAGGAATATATCTCACAGCTGGTGACGGACAGCACGACGACGAGCACGAACGTCGGACAGGGCAATAAGGAGCTGCGGCGCGCGACGGAGCGGCGGAGTACGGCGCAGGCGGTGTTCTGGGGGACGGTGGGGTTGTGTACGGGGTTGGTGGTGTGGGATTTGATTTTCTGAGCGTGTTTGTTTGTTTGGTTGTTTCTTTCTTTCTTCTCTGATTTTTTATTTTATTTATATTTTTTTCATGGGTGTAGGGGTTAGGACTACGGAGTACTACGGAGGGGTGTATACGGATACCAAGTCAAGTCAAGTCAAGTCAAGGTAGATTCAGTTGATTCATTTTCTCTTCATCGAGATTATCCCAGCCAATCCGATGTGGAAAATCTCTAAGATCAACCCGAAAAAAAAAAAAAAAAAAAAAAAGTTCCTGAGACGGGAACCTAAGGTAGACAGGAAGGAAATACAGTTCATCGGAATCCGAGACGGCAAACATGGGGAGAAAGGGGGGAGTAATTAGATTGTCGGTAGAAGAGGAACGGTCATGAGTAGGATACAAAGGCTAGGTAAAAAGACGAGGAGAAGAGACTATGAGGTCTCGCGGACAACGCTGTCGACGGCTTCCGCAAAGTAGTCGAGGTTATTTGTGTTGAGGCCAGCCATGGAGATACGGCCGTTCTTGGTCTGTCATGCGAGAGCACATGGAATGGTCAGCTGGTGTTGCCTGTTGGCTTGATAGAAGTGGGCTAACAATAACCCCAAGAAAGGGTTGGCCTGGAATGAATGCCGTGGCGGCGGCCCGAAGCCGGGTGGAGACCAAAGTTGCGGTGTGTAGGCTAGCAGCCTAGCAGGCCTAGCAGGCTACCCGCGGGCGATCAGGAGATGGGGAAGGGGGGGTGGGGGAAAAGAAATACAAAAAACCAAGCAACTCACCATGTACACATGCCACTTTTCTCTCAAAACCTTGACCTGCGGCTCGGTCAGTCCAGTGAAACTGAACATGCCAATCTGACTTGTGATGTGATCCCAGCTGCCGGGAGTGCCTTTCGCCTCGAGACGCTCGCGCAGTCCCTTGCGCATCTCCGCAATGCGACCGCTCATGGTACGCAGGTCCTCCTCCCACTCGGCGAAGAGCTGAGGGTCGTTCAGAATGCGGCTGGCGATGCGTGCACCGTATGCGGGGGGGTTGGAAATCTCGGAGCGCTGCAGGATGGCCAGCTGGCTGGCGATGTGGGCGTTGGCGGCTTCGGCGTCCGGGCCGGGGGCGGAAACGAAGTGGTAGGCGCCCGTGCGCTGGCCGTACAGACCGAAGTTCTTGGCGAATGATTGCGCAATGCAAAGCTCGAAGCCCTGCTCGACGAAGTATCGAATCGCCCACGAGTCGCGGGACAGATCGCCCGACGCGAAGCCCTGGTAGGCGCAGTCGAAGAACGGGAAGTGCTGGCGCTCGCGCAGGACAACAGCGACCTCCTTCCACTGATCCTGGGTCAGGTCGACACCAGTGGGGTTGTGGGCGCAAGCGTGCAGGACGATGATGGAGCCGGCGGGAGCGTCGCGCAAGGCGCCGAGCATGCCGTCGAAGTCGAGACCCTTGGTCTTCGCGGAGAAGTAGGGGTAGTTGGCGATGGAGAGGCCGACGTTGGTGAAGATCTGATGGTGGTTGGCCCACGTGGGGCTGGAGAGGTAGATCTTGGGAGGTTGTGGGTGGAATTTGGCCAGGAACAAAGCGCCCAGGTGCAATGCGCCTGTTCCGGAGACGGCTTGTAATGTGCAGACCTATTTTGGGGTTTCGCGATCAGCATCCGACATCCTCACGTGAATCAAAGGTTGAGGAATGCGAAGCACATACTCGTTTCTCCTGGATTGCCGCACTATCCGCACCGATCATGAGCTTCTGAGCGGCAGAGGTGAAGTCCGGAAGACCCTTGATGGGAAGATATTCATGGTTGAGGTTGGGATCGTTGCGAATCGCCTCGTCGGCCTATTGCATGACAGCGACAGGGAAAAGGATCAGCACCAAGCGCTTTGCGACAGGATCAGAAGCTTGCGAGACTCACCTTTTTTACCACGGGAAGCACCCAGGGCTTTGCGTTGTCGTCTCTGTAGGCGCCGATGACCACATCGACCTTTTTCTCCGAGGGATCCTGACGGAAGGCCTGCGCCAGACCAAAGAGAGGATCTTCCGGGGCGGCGGGCACGACATTTGTGGAGAAGACGGAAGGGCTGGAGGAACCCATGATGTGCGACGAGAGGGAAGCGAGACGGGAGCGAGCGATAGAAGTCGAAGCCGCAGTGGATAGCGAGGGAGCAGACGCCAACGTTGAAGATGAAGATGAAGATGAAGATGCAGATGAAGATGGTGAAGGTGGTGGACGCGGGGAAGACATGGTGGATAGATATGATGCCGATGAGTAATGGAAAACGGCAAAAACAAAACACGGGACTTTTTCCTGATCAGGCGCAGGTATTTTCGAAATTCGAAACCAACCAGGGCCCAAAACTTTGCAGGCATGCAACGGATGCGTCACACGATACACCCGAGTCCAGTACACAATTTACAGCTGGTCTGCCGAATGTTCAGAAAGCGACCGTTGTTGGTATTACTTGGTTTTTTTCCCCCGCTGCTTGCGTTCACCGGGGGCGGAGCGATTCGGTCAAGTGACAGTTTCCCCAAGCAGCAAAATTCCCGGTGGAATCGAATCGGCCTGATCTGATCTGAATGATCTGATCTGATGGTGGAAACGAAGGATGCCGAATCAGGTCACTTTTTGGTCAACCGTTGCGAAAATGAAATTGATAGAAAATGATGCAGTGGGGGGGAAATTGAGGCTCGTGTGAGGACTGAGGACTGAGGGCCGGGGGGGTCCGTATATGGCCCAATGCGGTAATATTGGTTTTCAGGAACCGTACGAAGTAGCCAAATAGATAACGAACACTTTAGCAGTCAACTCTCTCGCTCGAGGATAGATAGGATCTTGAGCTATATATCTAGTACTAGTACTTGCGTATATAAAGCACTTCTTCCCCCCCCCCCTCTTTACTCTGTCACAAAAGAGACCCAGTTCGTCCCCAACTTCACCCGACAAAACGCGTTATTTTTTTGGGCTGTTTGGCAGCGAGCCGAGGAACTGCACAGTACCGAAAGCCGAATGGAGTCAGGCAGTTGAATGGCACGACGACAGACCGTCACATGCAGCTCCATTCGGGACGTATTCTTCAATCAATTTGTGCGGGCTCGTTTGATGAACGACTCCAGTGGAGCTAATTCTTCAGATAGAGCAGGCAATAATACCATGCTAACTGTGCGCCATTTTGGAGCATGTACTCCGTAGTTACCTAAGGTACGGAAATCGGAATAGACTAGTCTGGGGAATTGATTTACCTATAGTACTCTGTACGGAGTACTCCGTACACAAATCACAAATTGTCAATGCAAATCCCACCCTTGAGACGACGACATATGATTTGAATATGGTTAAATGTGTCATCCCAGCCTAACTAACGATAATTAACCGGCCAGCCCAGCAGCCCAGCAACAGTAAATAAATGCCTCAAAAAACTCATGTACTGTCTAGTCCCTCAAAGAGTTCAGGAGTTTCTCCGACCCAAATGCAAGTTTGCAACAACCCCCCCCCTTCCATTGCCAGATCCTGGGATCGCATCCGAAGATGACTAGACTCTAATGCATCCGGGAAACGAGAACCGTACACAGTATGGTTCTGTCTATCTTTTGTACTCCGTAGGATAGAAACGGGCTCTGGTAAACGATCGGGTGTCTGAGACACCGACTGCCAGAGCCCCGAACTAACAACTTAACTTCGAAGGTCGAAGGTCAAAGGTCCATTGTGATGTGATGAATATTGCTAATAATAATAATGCTGAGCATCAATCAAAATGAAACTCGGTGTTTGTACCGATCGTCCGAGGAGAAATTGTTTTTTTTTTTTTTTTTTTTTTTTTTTTTGCCACGAGTCTGGTGTCCCACTGTCCGTATTTCTACAGTAATTGCGTGTTTCTTGTTCATCATCATTATCTACCTACCTAGTATCCACTGTGCCACTGCCACTGCCACTGCCCCGTCTTTCCCCACGGGGTGGATTGCTCACAGTTACAACTTGCAAGTCACAAGTCATAACCACATTCCCCAATGCGGAAATTCTTTCGAAGCTGTCGCCGGATTCCGGAATATCCTCACTTCATTTGTACTACTAGAGTTTATCTACTCCGTATTTTAAATTCATAACTACACTCCTACGCAGAGGGTAATACTCTCAGGTGGCAGATGCTATGTCATGTATCATCATTCTTGAACACGTTTCTGTACGCCCGTACACTATGTACAAAGAAGAAGAAAAGCGTGAAAACAACAGGAACGGCAACAGCAACAGCACAGAAAAGTCTTTTCCAAGCCCGTCTCATTCTCGGTTCATAAACGCCAGTCCACCCCTTAACGCCCCATGTCGCATTCGTATCGTAAACTCATCAAATCATTCCCAAACATTGCACAAAAACCCGGTGGTGCATATCCCATACCCACGCCATGCACTTGCAGATCCCAAATCCCAGTTCGAATATATCACAAGCGAAGTAAGAAGAAAGAATATCGTAGATACAGTTGACTTTCAGATCTAGCAGCGTCTTTTTTTTTTCTTTTTCTTTTTTGTTCAATCGCGGCTTGCTGGTTCAGGCTCGCTCGGTAGCCTCGGTGACTCCATGCGTACGGGTCCGTATGCGGAATCGGTCGCGTAACCGCGCGGTCAGACGACTGCGTCGGTGTTGCCGCTCGTCTGCATCCTCGTTCTGTGCGCCGCGGCTCGCTGCCTCCCGAACGCTCCGGAGCGCGGCCAGCCGTTCCTCCACGGTCGCATCGCGCATGCGGCGCGCGTTCAGGGTGCCATGCAGATAGGACGAGATCCGGCGGTGTTGCCGGTTTGGAGTCGCGTCTGCCGTGGGCGCATTTGGGTGGTCTGGCGAGGCTTCGGCCTCGCCATGTTCATTGTCCTCCTCCGCTTGAGCGGGATTCAGGTCGATTCGACTGGTTCAGTTAGCTCTCCATCCATCATCCCGAAAGGAACGAAGCTACATACCACAATGGACAGGTGCCGGACACATTCACAAGCCATGGGTCGATACATTCCGGATGGAATTGATGGTTGCAGGGCAGCACGCGGAGATCCTGGCCCTTAATAAAGTCATCTGTGCAGATCGGACATGAGAAGTTCGGATGGTCGGTTGGCGACTCGTTTTCCCCCGGTGCGGGCGTTGCGTGTCGCTCCGTACTGGCTGGAGAATGGGCAATCTCGCTGTTGGTTCGGTCGTTGGCGTCCGGTTGGAGGGCTCCGTCCGCAGCAGGCACTTCTTGACGTTCATTGGGACGGGTGACCCCATGTTCCTCGGTCCCCGTCGACATTTCCACATCTCCCTTGACCGCATCCGCCTTGGGGTCATAGTTATCCCCGAACTTGACGATCGGAATCGTATCCAACATCGCCCGGGCTATCCCTCTCGCTCGACTTTGCCGGGGTCGTCCCGCCGTATACCGGGGCCCATAGCGTTCCGGATGCCGGTGAGCCCGGATGGCGCCGGTAATGATGATAGCTAAGAAAAGGGCGGTGATGATGCCTGTGATGCTATACAGGATGATCATAGCTGTTTGCGTGGTTGGTATGGAACGGCGTCAAGGTGCAATCGAGAGGGGAGTGGACACAGAACGTACCAGTATTGGGGCTGTCTGCAGGCCCGTCCGACGTCGGCGGATTCACGGTGCCGACAAACGACATATTGTAGACGATGCTGATGGGTTGGTCTCCGTTCAGCGGGCTGGGTTGGAAATTTAAAGTGGTTGCGAAGGCCGAGTCAAGAAGGGTGAAGACGTTGGGGTATTGCCCAGCAGCGCCGTCATTCACGGTGTAGTTGCAGTGGGAAGCGGAAGTGCTGTACAGGAGCACGGCAGCTGCCTTGTCCTGCGCGGTGAGAAGATTGGTCACAGTTGCACTGGCATCCAGATTTCCAGGGTACACAGAAGGGTCGCAGCTGACGAAAGCTATGTCACCTGTGTTTAGTTGGAGTGAATTTTGTGCGTTGACGCCCACTAGATTGCCAGTGACATTGAAACTCTACGGGAGGGGGATTAGAAGGATTAGTGATTTGTTTTTCTGACAGAGACTGATTGATTGATCCAAGGACAACCAACCTGAAGATCGGTACCATTCAAATCGACCAAGGACTGGGTCAGAGGTGCGATGATGACACCAGGCGGGAAGTTGAACCGAGCGGACTGCAGATGGAATCGTTTGTGGTTCGTGAACGAGAGATCGGTAGAGTTATTCGACGGCAGGACGGTACAGCCAATCGAAGACTCTATCGCTCGAACGGAGGACGAGAAAGTGAGCAGGAGCAGGAACAGGAGCAGAAGAAACTGAAGGGAAGAAGAGGGAGATCCGGAGGGTTTTGTTCTGGGCCCCATCGCAAGAGAGCGAGAGAGGATCTGCCTGGATCGGATGGACGGGGAAAGACGTGAGGGGAAAAAAAAAAAAAAAAAAGAAAGAAAAAGAAAAAGAACTGGATTAGTTAGTGATTCCCCACGGTGACGAGGCTTACGGAAACAGCGGAGGATCCGGAGTTTGGGATGAATGATGAGTGATGAGGATGAAGTATAGGTGGTGGACTAGGTATGGACGATAATTATTATTATTATGGATTATGGATCATGGAGAACAGGGTAGATCGATAATTGGATATGGGTCTGGAATAACTATGGATATCGGGATATGATGCACAGAAGATCATTAGTCACAGATCTTGTCAAGACCAAGACAGTCAGTCAACCACCACCAGCAAGAAAGAGGGAGAAAAAAAGAAACCAGAGATGGAGGGTGTGCTGTCCCACGGCAGGGCTGATCCCTTACGAACGGCGTTTACAGACCAACTAATAACAATAACAAGAAGAAGAAGAAGAATAATAATAATAATAACAATAAAAAATAACAAAAACATCCACTAAGTAATCATGGAGTGCGGCGGTGCGCCCGACCGAAGGGATGTACTCCGTATGGATGTATGTGGCCGGGGGTTTAATTGCAATACTATGCAAGAACATTCAACACAACAAAAAAGAAGCTGGGGAAACCCATGAGGCCGAGGGAAATGGGGGATGAGCCGATAAGGATTACTCTATCTAGGTAGTATCTACTATCTACGGCGTAGGTATCCAAGTGGGAGATCACAGACTGACAATCCAGAATTATTCAGAATAATGGGAAAGCCCAGAAAAGTCAACACAGTACCTATCTAACACACAGACAGGTGGATGTGAAACCCGAGACCGTGACCAGCCGCTAAAACGGGGCAATAGGTAATAATTACTATGCGATCGGAGACGCACTGTGGAGTGGCAGTGGAGGGCGTGTTATGTCAGATAGTCAGAGACGGAACATCGCCATGAAGAAATGATTGCCTCAGATGCGATGAGAGTGTGATAGGGTGGACAACTCGGCTGTCAGCATTTCAGCGACCACTTCCCAAATCCCAAGTACCCCCGCCTCTTTTTCGGCACGATCGGGAAAGGATCCCTCAGCCAGTGTGAGACGGTAGAGGGGCTATGTACTTGGCTTGAGATTCCGTGGAGTTGAACAGCTCTCACAGCCAATCCTCCGGGCTCTACAGCGAGGCAGATGAATCAGAGGGGGGTGCCATCAACAACGATGAGCGTATATCAATACGCAAGTCTAGGCTACTGAATTTGTCAATGAATGGAAGATTCCATTATTAGGTACAGGACTTTTTGTAATGGATGGCCTCGATGAGGATGGAGATGTGAAAGCAGAAAAGACATCAGCGAATTCACGATCGTCGGGACTAAGATAAGAGATCGTCATGGTCTTGGAGTTGGAGAGAGAGTCGAGAGTTGTTCATCTCTCTCTGTAAAGTCTATTCCAGTCCGAGATGAAGAAAGATCACAATTCACAGCACAGCTATGTTTCGTACTGATGGTCTGATGCGGGGTGACTGGAGGACAGACGATCCAACATCCCATGGACCAGCTAAGCTCGCCCAATTTCCCCTGCTTAATGCTGGCTGTTGTGGCCGTTGGTGCTGTTGATGATCGTCAATACTCGTCCCGATGAGGTATCGTGATTCGCTGCCACCGCCGAGCATTCGACCTGAAGGTAAATCATCCTGGAATTGGTCAGTCAGATAAGCGGCGTGTCCAATCTCCCAAAGCATCTAGATACCTTGAAACTGAGAGACGAAGACAACCAAGCAATGGATTACCAATCATGCAACCATTACATCACCACTCATTGGTCTCGAACCTCGACTCTTCCATTCAAGAAACAGCGAGACCCATGGGAAGAGCTCTGGGAAAAACATGTCAACCTCATGTGCAAGTAACTACATGTGACAGTAGTAGTAGTAGTAGTAGTGGCAGACAGACAGACACTCTTAGAGTCCGTCTATACGAATACGACAAGTGTCAGTTGCACACACATGACACAACCGCTCCATGCGCAGTGATGATTCATCAATTCTACACAAGTCTCCGATCATTCTCCGATCTACGTAGTACTGTGTACTCAGCACTCACTCTCCTTTGATCTCCCCCACGTGGGAGTATCCGTGATCGGAGCACTGACAGACAGTCTTCTTGTCCATGCCTGTCATTCCTGGGGGAATCAGCCACTGCTTTGGAATGTTAATCATCAAAGGATTCGGGATGCCGCCGACGCCGTAGCGGTGGATAATGCTATCTGGGCCTCCGTGGACAATTGCTTGCGCCTGATCATCGTGATTGGAGACACTCACCGAGTACTCTGTACTGTGTAGCATATTTCGATACCAGGTCAGGAACTATCAGGGGTACTGCCGAGGAATTGACAAGTCAAGTCTTCGCTCGGAACTGTGCAGCAGATGCCAGCCAAATAAATAATAGCAGAATTAGAATGCTCTGTATGAAAATCCCAGCTCGCTTGCATTTCCTGGACAGATACTTTTCATTCGATTGACAGACTAGACGTGCCGTCTGTATAGAGTACAGCCTCAGGCATTAAAAAAAAAAAGGTCGATCCTCCACTCATCACAGATTCCAGATTCATACTACCACCTCAAAGTAGATACTAGATAGTGTATGGAATATGATTTCAATCTATTCCAAACTCAAGAGCAACCCGCAGCTACTCTACCCCGAACCCTAACACCAACACTACTCAATTCTACTGGCCGAAATCCAATCAGGGGAACAAAGCATTCATGGTTCTCCTCAGGACGCCACAGGGTATGGGTTCTCCCTCCGTCTCGCAAGGCTTGCCTTTTTACTCTGTAGCGTCGACACCGGAGCGTTGAGGCTACAGTGAACTGTCAACCTAGGGTGGCGTATCCTCCAGGCCCCAGGGTCACCGCATGTTGATCTTGGCAGTATGAGTAGTGACTAGTGAGTAGTACATAGGTCGTAGTGAGTGCAGTAAGAAGTAGTCTAGTCTAGTCTAGTCTCGAGCTCAGAGAGATAGTATTTCAGGAGTCAGACTCAGACATGCTACTGTTAGGCTAGAATCTCGATAGATACTTTGAGGACGCCGTACGACGGCGACAGATCTGCCACCCTGAGCTGTGTAGCGAACAGCCACAGTCTAGACCTTCAAGCCACAATGCACATATAAGCAGCAAATGCAGCGTCTGCGACGACTGGATACCTCTATTCTCAAGGGGAAGTGACTGGTCACCGATATCTTGTGAAGCCGCAGATGAATCTAGTGGACGTGTATGCCATTTGTTTTCGGAGCGAGGGGATTGTAGACGCAGGAACGTCCCATTTTATTTTTTTTTTTATAAAAAAGAAGAAAGAAATTGGGCATAGGATGCCGGCAGACAACGACAAGATCATGGAATCAACACACGTTGGGGGTGCAATAATGGTCCATCGGCCCACGCGATCATTCAATTTTCTCGGTTAGATACTATCTAGTTATGATGGAGACATGGAGTATAAGTGGTGGACTGGTGGCTCCCCCCTAAAATTCTTGAGTATTGACCCGCTGCGGTTTGGCTCCACTGCAGCCCATTTGAGGCCCCGGGGGGGAGGATCTGTATCCTTTTCTGACAGGAGCAACACTTGGTCCGTGTGTGGCAGTCTGGCTGTGGCAGATGGGAAGAGAAAAAAAGAAACGAGCAAACAACCACTGTATATGCATGTCGCTCATATGGACCACCTATTGATCTACGGAGTACTTCTTCAGGAAAGGTTACCACTTAACCCAGCAGATAGATAGAAGTACTAGTAGTAGCTTTAAGGGAAAATCGGGAGGTGCGCCTGCGCGAACAGCTAGCATTACCGACCGTGAGAAACGGGATGAAGACGACTCGGATGTCAAAGCGGACAATGCACATGGAACAAAGAAGAAAGCGTGGCTTCCCTAGGGTTGAGGCTTTTGACCTTTTCGAGGCAATTGACCGGAAGAATCGTTGGTAGAGCTCAGTCACGGTGATCAGACCGTCAGCATGGTCCAATCCTGGTCACCACCTGGCTGGTGATGGTGTCAGACGCCAGACCCTTTGCTCTGAGCTGAGGAAAAGTCTATAAGTCTATAAGAGTATGTATCTAGTGTCAAGTGTCAAGGGCGGAGGACGGAGTCGCAAGATGGATGCTGTTGGTATGACAATCATTCCAAGAATGGGGCAAGGTGGAAAATAGGGGTAAACAAGTCCAGAGTAGACAGTGTAGTTACTAAGGTAGTTAGTCCCTCATGCAATATACAGGCCCATCTCTATTAGTTGCCTTGTTAATTTGAAATTGCTACCTCGTACTCCGTACTCCGTGGTGAAGGCGGTGGATACGAAGCACTCTTTCACTCTGTCAGTCGTATCAGCTGTCAGTCAGGGTGGATACTCCTGATCTCCCATACCAAGTTAGAGATAGATAGAACGATGGATCCATACGGTAGAGACCTAGTAGTAGGTAGGGAGAGAGTTGGAATTGGACCATAATAATAAGTAGATCAATACTGCTCTATGTACCTACCTATGGAAGTACCTACCTACCTGTGTAGTTATGGAAGTGGTGCATCCACCCCGAAGCGGAAAGCAAAGTAATCATGAGCCATCACATCAAAATCACCCAAATTTAGCAGCGGACAGTCCCATAGGCCAAGAAGGCCTGGATTATCTTATCCGCTGTCTGTCCCCGCTTCCATTCAGGGCCTCGAACATCCACCGGTCCCAGTTTATTTACTGGTGATTGGCTGCATCGTGCTGGGGGAGGCATGGAGATTTCCATCCTTTGGATACCTGCAGTACCATACCATACCTAATAGGTAGTGTCCACTACTAGACTACCACCAGTACCTAGTGTACCTAATCTGTAAGGTATTTTTCAACAGAGCCCTTCCATGCCTGGTCGAGACCTTAGGAGTTGGGATATCTATGGAAGGCATCTTGAGTTCTTGACTACCTAGGACTACCTAGGACTGCCTAAGGACTGGTAGGTAAACTAGCTTACAGAACCTATACCTATTACCTAGGTACCTACCTAGATCCTTAGGTAGTCAGGCCGTCGTACCTATCGAAAACTATCAGGAGCTGTCAACCCAGTCCCTACTCCCTAAGGTATCAACCTAAGGTACTGGACTCTCCATAGTACTATGTACACTGTAAGTATCTCCTCGCTAGGTACACTACCCAAATACTGATTATATGAGTAAAAGGATCCCAGCAGAGAAGAATAAAAATGATAATCATAATAATAATAATAATAAAAGAGGAAGAAACACTGAGGAGATTAAAGCAAAAAAAAAAAAAAAAAGGAGAGAGAGACAAAAAGGCAACTAAAATATCTCCAGATTCCATTCCTTCCATTCATTTTTCATAATGCTTCTTCTTTCCACCCCCCTCTGTCTCTTCCTCTCTTCCCCTTCCTCATAATAATAATACTACTACGACTAACAGTCAATCTCTCAATCCCTCCCTCCCTTCCTCTCTCTCTCTCTCTCTCTCTCTCTTTTCTCCTTTCCATCTGCAGCACGGGACGATCCATTCCAACAGGATATGTGCAACATCAGAACTGCCTTAGATAGAGATCATTAAGTAATCGCTAAACAACCACCCACCATACCAATACCACACTCTCTCATACTGCAATCATCCCCGACAAAAACAACCACAATATAAGCAGAACTTTCCGGAACAAGAGACTCATCTCAACAAAACCCCCCCAATGCACAGGATGGCTCAAAGGCACCACTGTTGAGACATCCATTCACTCGGCCAGTTCCTGGGCCTCTGACATGAACACGTCGCCCCCTTCGACGAGACCCTCGTCCTCGTCTTCTTCTTCTTTCTCGGACATCCACCACCGCAGACTCGCCGCGTCAACACTGGTGATTCCAACCACATTACCATGGCTTCTCAAGCCGGTCCATCTGCCTTAAAGGCTTCTCACAATCCTCAAATCACTCATAGCAATCAAGCAGCTACCGCCTTGTGGAAGAAGCGTTTCGAAAAGAGACATTTTTCTTCGTAAGTTTTACCTTCGCTCTCCCTTCCCGTTCACATGTGCCTCCCCTCCCCCTGCGGTTGTTCCCGTGTACTCGGAAGTCGGAATTCCCACCACTTTGACTTGAACATTCTCTGGCCCCTTGGAATCCCAATAAGAGCTCTTCTAATCAACTCTCTTTTAGTAATCCTGTCATTGCCAAATTAGATGTGGAATGCAACGAACTCGCCCAGACTTGGAATAGATTCCAGGAAAACCTACCATCCCCCGATCAAGTCCAGTTGCAGGAACGTCTGCAAGAGTCCGACGATGTCTTGGCAGTGGTGCGTGAAGTACAGACTGTCTGGGCATCTCGCCCTCGCCAGCGAGTCTTCCGTCGGTCGATGACTCTCTGCGATCAATTCGTTGCTTCCTTCAATCTGCACCTGATGCTGTTGTCCGCCCTCCCTCGCAACGAGGCTTATCTCGCTCTCTTCTATGGTGTCTTGCAGTCTGTCATCAAGGTGAGTTTCCCTCCCTCCCCCACCCACCCCCGATCACTCCACAAGTCACTGGAGTTCATCACGCTAAAATAAATATACTCGGTATAGGCAGCAGCAAATTACCCCAGAGCCATGGAAGGTCTGATCACAATTTTAGTGCAAGTCAATGAATCTGCTGGCATCTCGGCTGGAGAGCACAGTCTTGAATCCATCAAAAATTCATCTCTCGCGATCGCAAACTTCTACGCCTTGAACTTTCTACTGTTAGGAGAATGGATGGACTGGTATGTGCGAAAGGCCAAGTGCCGGCTGCTGAATAGTCCAAGCCTCGACCCTTGCTCGGACTTTGAAGGCTTGCTTCGCAATATTCAAACATGTGCCAAGGATATTGCGCGCGCGTCCACCGATGGGATGGATCTGGATACCTGTGATGAGGAAGTAAATGGGGTGCTCCAGAAACCTGATCGCCATTTGTGGGAGCAAGCTCGCTTAAGCCAGGCCGGTTTGCAAAAGTGGGATCGTCGTTTCGCCTCGCAGAGCGCAATTACTCGCCAGGTTATCTGGGAAATTCAGCATGATGCTTCCGAGCGAGCTCGCCTGAGGGTTGAGAGAGATGCGCATCTGTCGAAGCTGTTGGACTCGGCTAGCCAGCGGTTGCGGCCTACCAATGAACAACAGAGTGGTATAGCATGTTTGACGACTGCGGCGACTCGAGATTTAGGTATGCGATTGCTTTTGCTTTTTTTTCTATTTCAGTTTCCGATGCTGAAACTGGTTCAAGGCAAGCTAACTGTGTGTCTTTCAAGATGGGTCGAGATTTCATTGGTTGAAGGGGCCTAAACGCAAATACACCCGAGTCGATTTGCAGTTCGCTTCAAAACACCTCGAGGATTTCTTCGACAGCGACGATCAGATGGCCGACTTTGATGCCGAGGTGAATGTTGTCGCTGAAGATAGCGTGGTCAAGTCTCTGCAGCAATGGGCTACCGATCCACATTCACAGATGCTTGCCGTGGCTGGATCTCCGAGCACCGATCCTCCTTGCCCTGTTGCGCTCTTCTCCGCGTGCTTCGCCAGTTTCTCCCGACAAGCACGGCTGCCCGCTGTCTCCCACTTCTGCTCCATTCCCGACGCGACTGTGGAAGGATTGACTCAGTCTCAGCAGGGCCTCATTGCTCTTGCTTACAGTATGATTCGGCAGTTGATCGACTATCTCCCGCCCGTTTTGGAAAGTCACGAAGGGTGTGATTTGAGCCAGGAGCGCTTCGCGTCTCTGAACGGCACGCTTTCCTCGTGGACAATCGTCCTCTCTTTGATCGACGCTCTCCTGCACTATGCGCCTCCTCTTCTGGTCTGCGTGATCGATGGCCTCGACATTCTCCACGATGAATCCACCGATCCACATATCCGCTCTTTCGTCCGCACTCTGATGACACATACCAAACACCAAGCGGACGCGATACCGGACGGGACCGCAGGTCAAAATGTACTTCTCAAGGTGCTCTTTACCGTGGCTGGACGGCCCAGTGCTTTGGTGGAGACTCTCTCCGAGGACCAACTCATCCTAAATAGTGAGTCAAATGGGGTGAACCAACCAGCCTCCGCGGATGCAGCCCCGACTCCGGACGTGGGAGTCGTTCTAATGAACGCATAGACGCGTGCGGCATATTGATGAAATGACTTTGTTCTGACACGGTAGCGTTTTTCTCCTTTTTTTTTTTTTTTTTTCTCGTTTCTGGTGCATATCTGGGTCATCGGCAATAGAATTTATGTGCAGGCTAGGGGTTTACTTGATTCAAGGTTAGCGACAGGCATGCTGGTATGGCGAATATCTTTTTACTTTTCTTCCATTCTTCTTCATGACTTGTTCTCTTCGATTGAGCCGGATTGCTTCCATCCTCGCGACATGGGCAGAGTTGACTTGGCGCGGTGGCATTGTCAGTTTGATTGATCCATACCCCCTCTGTCTTCTTTTTTTATTTATTTATTTGTTTTGTTTTCTCTCTCTGCAGTCAGGACTTTTCAAGGGCTCCTGTACATCTGTAATAACAAGCGTTTATGACGAAATGAGCTTATTCGGGAGGTACATAGCCTGCTGTGAATATCGGAAAGTGGTTTCCTTTACAGGCAAGAGCTGCGATACTCTCAGTCTTGAGGTTGATCAGTAGGATAAACGGGGGGGACTTGTACAGATTTGAGGATGATGCTGTTGGGGTGCCTTATACAGGGCCGCGAGACGGAACATACGGAGCTTGAATTCCGTTGATGTGCAGCCCCAGAGCTTCATGAGATGTGGAATCCGAGCGCAGAGGGCATCAGTGGGCCACGGCGCCAGCTGGTCCCCGCAATTAGCATGAAGATGGGGAAACTGATCCGATCCTCGGGATTCGAGGATCTCGACCATCAGATCTTGATTTAACCTGGGGTTTCTGCTGTCTGCGGTTAGGTCTTCTTCAACCACCACATACAGGTTACGGACAACACCCACACCACAATGACCGGGCACTCTTCCACCCCCAACCGACTCTTCGAGCCCAGCTCTCTCGACCTCGAAGAATTCAAGAGGATATGCAGTCAAACCACTGATCAGGGCCGGTATCCTCTCGCGAGCACCATCGAGAAGAACATCCCGCTTTACGACGCCGCCACCTTCGACCCCCTCGACACCGCGCTCACCCCCCGGCTCCAAGATGAATGGCACCACGCCCTCTCCTGCGGCCCGGGCATCATCGTCCTAAAGAACATGTACCACCGCCCCCGCTACACCCAGACCCTGACCGCAACCACCGCCACGTTCCAGCACATCATCGCCCACGAACGCACCCTCTCCACCAAAGGCGACCACTTCGCCACCGGCGGCCGCAACGATCGCATCTGGAACTCCTTTTCCAAACACGCCCTGCACGACCCCTCCTCCTTCATCGACTACTACGCGAACCCCTGGCTGCGCCTCGCCGCCGAGGCCTGGCTCGGCCCGGCCTACCGTGTCACCGCCCAAGTCAACGTTGTGAAGCCCGGCGGCGCCGCCCAGGACCCCCACCGCGACTACCACCTGGGGTTCCAGGGTGGGGAGGCGTGCGCGCGCTTCCCGCGCACGCTGCACGTCGCGTCGCAGTACCTCACGCTGCAGGGGGCGGTGGCGCACAGCACGATGCCGGCGAGCAGCGGGCCGACGCGGTTCCTGCCGTTCAGCCAGACGTTTGCGCCGGGGTATCTGGCGTGGCGCGGGGAGCCGTTCCGGGACTTCTTCCGAGACAGCTATGTGACGTTGCCGCTGGGGGAGGGCGATGGGGTTTTTTTCAACCCGGCGGTATTTCATGCTGCGGGGGCGAATGAAATGTCCGCGTCTGCGTCTGCGTGTGCGGATGCTGATTCGGAGGACGGCGAGGGGGCCTTCCACCGGAAGGCGAATCTGTTGCAGATTAGCTGTGCGTTTGGCAAGGCCATGGAGAGCGTGGATACGGTGCCGATTGTGGAGCGGTGCTGGGGCCAGATGCTGGCGCGGTATCAGGGGACGGGGCTAGATGCGGAGATGGAGGCGCTGGTCATGGCGGTCGCGGAGGGGTATCCGTTTCCGACGAACTTGGATCGACGGCCGCCAGCGCCGAGTGGGATGGCGCCGGAGAGCGAGCAGGAGATTGTGCTGAGGGGATTGCGGGAGGGGTGGAGCACGGAGAGGGTGGTGGGGGAGTTGCGGCGGATGGGGAGCGATTCGGCCGCTTGAGTGTGAGAGTCGAGGTTTGCCAGTAGGATACAACTCTGCTGCTGTCCAGGGGAATTGCATTATAAAGAAACGCTGGAGGGGGGTTGGCAGGGAGACTGCGGGCAATGCATTGCTACTCGATGGCGTAGTGGTATGTTGTATTGTGGTTCTTGCTCTCTAGTGGAGTTGCACGACCTAATTTGCTGATAAGGGCAGTGGTGAGGATCCTTGCTTGGGCGTTTCTCTGTTTTGATGCACGGTCTATACCTACTCCTCTGGTGGGACAGTTATGATGGCCATGTATACTACGCCGTCCTTATCCCGAGGTGGTTTTGTTTAGGGCTGAAGAGCGGCAGTTCCCTTCGGATCAGCGCCCCGCATTTTATATTGCTGAATGCTGGCACTTGACAGTGACACTTTGACATTCGACTTGATCTCGATATAAATATAATCTTCTACCCGGCTCACAGCCGCCAACATGACCCAAATCGTCCACCCAAACAAACAGAAACTCATCGACCGTGCGGGCGAGTTCTTGACCGAGGTCGAGGACCTGTATGTTCCATCCCCCTTTGCCCCAGAGCATCAATTCATCCATTCAGTCTAACCAAACCCAAAAACAGTACCCCGGGCCTCGCCCTTGAAAAATACCTCAACGAACACTACGGCCCCGGCACCCCCTACTACGAAGACTTCTGCACCCTCATCCGCAACGCCCTCACCCACACCGAAGGCTGGGTCGCGACCACCGAAATCGATGGCCCGCACTACCGCCGCAGCCGCGTCAGCGACCCCAGCGCCGACACCCGCTACTTCAGCATCACCACCGTCTACATGGACAGCCAGCGCCAGGAGGTGTTCCGCGGGCAGTACCACCGCCACCCCTACGGCGAGATCAACTGCGTCGTGCAGATCGACGAGTCCGCGGAGCTGATGGGCATGTCCGGGTGGCAGGGGGCCGGGTGGACGTCGCCGGGTCCCGGCACGCACCATTATCCCGAGGCCAGGGGGGGAGGCTGGTGGCGTTGTTCTTCTTGCCGGCGGGGAGGATCTCGTATGCGGCGAGGCCGGGGGATGCGCAACCGGCTTGTATTTAGGTTGGTAGTAGGGACTTGTAGGCATCTATATATCATTAGAAAAAATCTCCCAAATCAGCTAGGTAACTACTACTTTCCTTGGGCTTTATCTTTATGCTTACAAGCTTAAGATAGATCACCAACTGTGAATGAGTATCAATCAATCCATTGATCCGTCCTTCCTATTCTCACCAAAACAAACAGTGCAGCAGGATATGGTACATTATCTGGGGAGGACTTGTTGCGGCGTTGGTGCTTGGACGGTCTAGCATCATCCACTGCTTGACAGTATTTTCGCCAATGCGTAGTATGTGCATAGATTGGATTGGATTGGATTGGATGCTTCTGCATATTTGCCATCTGCCTGGGAATCCCAATTGAGGAGATTTGCTGATTTGCAAAGTGATCGGTCAAATCAAACATGTGTGAGAAGATGCTAAACAAAAACAAATGTGTGATTGAGATAGATAGATATTTATATACATATACATACATATACATACATACATATATATATATATGCCTATATGTATGTATGTATGTATTATAACCTCGCAAGTAGAACTGACGACTCAGCCACCAAGTAAAACCAAGTAAAACCAAGTTTTGAATCTGCTATCTACCAAAAGACACAAATTGGATCATAAGCATATGAATATCAAGTGTCTCTCTCGGGCAAACCCATATCCACCACCACCCTCCTGGCCCGAGTGGTTGAGCCGTGGTGAAGTGTTTGTCGAGGACGCCGAGTTGGAACGAGATCAATCCGATCCTGATCAAGACGGTGAGATTATACTACATCCGGAGAATGACGAGTTCGCGAATGCAATGCCCCAGTGAGCAAATAGCGCGGGCGGTAGTCCTGAGTTTGTTTTGAAACTGGGCGAGAATCAATCATCTCTACGGCCATAAAGGTTACGACCTGCGGCAGACCAGGAACAGCGTCACGCAATGCTAGCTAACTTGTGGAACAGATATTGAATGAGATTCATGAGATATTCTGCAATATGTATAGACATTTCTTTCAGTCATCTAGGGTTTGCAACGGCCGGTGAAGCGAGGATACAGAGAGCAATCTCTGACGGTGTAGCGGGCACACAACCAGGCCAGGAATCGCTCGAGACCCAGACCGTATCCACCGTGGGGGGAGGTACCGTACCTGAAGGAAAAAAAAAAAAAAAAAAAAATTAGATCGGGAGAGTCCGGGACAGGCAGCATAGGGGAGAATAGAAACTCACTTTCTCTGGTCGGTGTACCAGTAGTACGGGGCGGGGTCCATGCCCTCGTGCTTATACGCGGCCATCAGCTCGTCCCAGTCGTCCATTCTCATACTGCCGCCGACGATTTCGCCGACACCGGGCATGAGGACATCGACACTCTCGGTGACGCGGCGGTCCTCGGGGTCCTTCTTCATGTAGAAGGCCTTGATTTCAGCGGGGAAGTGGGTGAGGAAGATGGGCTGGTTGATGATGTCGGTCATCTTACGCTCGGCAGCCTCGGCGATGTCGTCACCGAACTGGTGGGGCTTGCCCTCTTCGTTGGGGATGTCGTGTTCGCGCAGCCACTCAATGGCATCCGAGTACCTCATGCGGCGGAAGGGGCGGCTAGGGGTCTTGAAGTCGGGGTTGAGCTGCTTGATGAGAGCAGCGGTGGCCGGGTCAGCAAGAGTGAGTTCGATGACACGGCAGATGACGTTCTCGAGATGGTCGAGCAGGTCGGTGAAAGTGATGAAGTCGAGCTCGCCCTCGATGTGGGTGTACTCGGACAGATGGCGGCGGGTGAGGGATTTCTCAGCACGGAAGGAGGGGCAGACGCAGAAGACATCACCCAGGGAGGGGAGGCAGGTTTCGAGATAGAGCTGGGAAGATTGGGTGAGATAGGCGTCTTCGCCGTAGTAGTCGAACTTGAACAGTGTGCTACCGCCCTCGACCTGGGTCTGCACCATAGCGGGAGGGGTAACTTCCAGCATCCGGTGCTCCTCGAAGGTCTGCCGGAAGGCCTTGAGAGTGGCGGCGCGCACCTTCAACACGGCCGAGGAGGTCTCGCCACGAAGGACCAGGTGACGGTTGTCATACAGGGTCTGAGGGTCGGCATCGGGGGCCACACGGGTGGTGATGGCCTCCTTGTCACCGGCAGCACGGCCGATGACGGTGTAGAAGTCCGCATGAAGTTCGCGGTCGTTGGGAGCGTGCTGCTTGGGAGGCACCGCGCGCATCTCACCGTGGATGGCCATGGAGGTTCCGATAGTGAGGGTCAGGGCATCGTAGGTCTTCGTCAAGTTGCCGGTCAGGATACACTGCAGGTAGCCGTAGCCGTCGGTCAGAGTCAGGAAGATGACATCCTTCTGTGCACGCAAGCGGTGCACACGACCCAGCACGCGGACCCGGGTACCCGGGGTCTCGGACTCGGGAGATCCCAGCTTAACAATCTCTGGGTCGGTGACGTCCAGGCGAATGCGCACGGGCTTGGGGAGCGAGGCGTCCTCGGTGATGACGACCTTCTTGGCATCCTCCAGGACTTTTTGACGCTTCTCCGCATCCTGCTTCTCCCGGATAGCCAGCTCCTGCTCCTTTGCAGCCTTCTTCTTGCGCTGCTCGACGATGCTGAGGGCCTTCTTCGTGGCGGACTTGGTTGCGGACTTCCACTCCAACTTGGCGGCGGGATCGACGTTCTCACCAGCAGGTTCTGTTTGCGACTTGCGCATCAAGTATTGGTTGCCTTCAGCGGGAGGTTGTTGCAAGAACGCATGGACCAGAGTCTTGTAGGGGGCGGCTTCGGAACCGGTGGCGGTTGAATCGTCCAGGCCGACATCCTCGTCAATGTAGATGGAGGCCATTCTGCAGGCTGGTGACACTGGTAATTGGGCTTGTAAAGTGATCTGAAGGAAGAGGTTTCGAGGGTGCGGTTTGTCCTACAGATAATGGTATGTACGGTTAGATGTGTGTGAGTCAGAGCGCAATCAAGGGGTGGGGTGTTGAAGATAAGAGAAATTGATGATTGTTCGAGATAGATTGATGAACTTACAAGATGGATATCTTGAATCGAGAGTGAGTTCGACTCAAATTGTCTATCGCGCACACAACGAGTCCCGCTGGAAGGCAAGATCAAGGAAAAGCCGCACAACTGCTGGGGATGGATTTCTTTGCGGGCGGACTTTTTGGAGGGGTAAAATTTATTGATAGTGGCCCATCTCCGCATATGCCTCAGGCATCTATCTTTTTTTTTTTTTTTTTTTCTTTTTTCTGTACTAATGGCAACTCGGCATACAGCTTGCTTCCTCTAGTTCACTGCAATAACTTCGAGACACCGAGAGGGTAGTATGATCCACAGTCAATATCCTAGTACGTTGTACGTTGATAATCATGGACTCTTGTACTCTTGTACTCTTGTGAGCATGTTGGTTATGCGTGAGGGAAAAAAAAAATACATATCTTTCAAATTCTTCTATATACCCCGTACGTGTAAAGCACGCTACGCCAATCATCACCTTTAGAGAGACCATACGACTGCATCCTCCATCCTGGATCTGTCAGATACCGCTACTCTTGTTATGTCCACATACTCTGTACCTAGGTATTCAGATCCAGCCATGTCTTGGGCGGTTGAAGAGGGGTGTTTTTTTGGTGACTCAGCAATTCTATGCCTCCTAGTTCTATCACTCCAGTCCCAAGAGGATAAAGTGCAAGGATCGGCATCCTATGCGAGTCAACATGAAGAGCACCAAACACTCCAGATCACAAACCATACGCCATTATCCAGATCTTGATGGATATTGCCCTTCGGTTTCAGAATCAAAATGTCTTGAACTTGCCAAGATCGTATGGACGAAACCCTCGTCCTGCGCTAGTCTTGATCGAGTAACTCCAGGTTCTGCACTCCCGAGAAGAGGCTCATCTTGGATTCAGGAACAGTCGAGTAGTTACTCCGTAGATGGATAGATATTCCATCTGCCCTGATCAATCACCCCATCATCGTCATTTATTGCCCATCTTAATTATCACGGAGATCTCATCTATCATCTTCTGAGTTCTGACAGGTTCGAAGGCGCAGAAGAAGCACAGATACAGCCGACAGCAGCTGGGGCAGCTTGACTGTCCTCAGTCCCCCTCCTCATGAGTGAATGTGCTGTAACAGCAATCCTCTCTTCTTCATATGGGAGCAACAACTTGTCTTGGACATGCAATAAGATACAAGCTCACTCGGATGTGTAACTATTGTGTCCCTGGATGCTGATGTTGATGGACCATGGACCATGGTCCATCCTCTACGGGATCCTTGAGTTACTCCACAAAATCCCCTATTCTTAGTGACGGGTCATAAATCATCTAGTCGATAATCGATTGTTACCTTGGGATGGTCAGGATGAGGGATAGATTTACCCCCTTTTTGGTTTTTTCTGTTTCCCTCGTCACGGAGTACTCGAGTAGTACTAGGATCACTATCAACAATTAGATCTCTACTTGGCTCTATCTACTTAGTCCGTAGTCGATTGATCGTACTAAGCAGTATGGGGTACGGGAGAGATGGATAGAGGTCTTCCTTTCTTAGTGATCTTTAGAGTGATATGATTCTTCTTATTATTATGAAACAATTCCTTGCTCTCTCATCTTATCATTATTCGAGCAGAGTAAATATTATTGATGATTATTTCAGACTGGAGGAGTCTGTAGGAAAAGGACACCAGTCTTCTTCTTCTTCTTCTTCCTCTTCTTCTTCCTCCTCTTCCTCCTCCTCCTCCTCCACGCCCCTTTTCTCTTCGCTCTGTTGGAGGTTTTCTTGATCACACACACTCATTAGAATTCGCTTCTTCATTTCTTCACCTCATCAGTTTCTTCGGTTGTCAAGTCAATCGATCCAATCGATCTCTTCTTCCATTCCTTGACCACCTAGATATCCACTCCCTACTAACTTCTTTTCGTTGCTTGCACCTTGACCTTTTTCATCTTCACTATTAACTACTATATCCACTTCTTCTTTCTTAGCCTCTCACTAAGTCAACTTCATCCTCTCCTTTTTTTCTCCCTCCTCCACTACTACAGTACACTTTTCATCTGACTACTACTTACAGTACTTGCTTACACTTCTTTCATTGCTTTCGACAATTATTGTTATTGTTATTCTACAGAGTTTCTTACTACGGAGTAGATACCTAGATATTATCTAGCTGTCTTTCTTTCTTCTTCTTCTTCTTCTTCTTCTTTCTCCAATTCCCACTATTCTCTTCTTGTACTAAACTAATTTGTTCCTCTACATTCAACCTCTCTGACTCTCTCTCCCTCTCTCTTCTCTCTCTCATACTTCCTCATTTCCCATCCCCCCCTCCCCCCCCTTCTTGGCCTTTGTTGTTGTTATTCATGCACATTCCAATTGACCTTTGAACTCCCCTCGACACACGTCTCCTTTGGGGAATTCTTCTTCTCTTCTTCCTTTTTTTTTTTTTCTTTCTTGCTTCTCATTTTTTCCTTTCTAAATTACTGATCTTTTTTTTTTTTGGTTGGGATCACTTTTTTGGGGTTATATTTCCTCTCCTCTTCTTTCCCCCCCCCCCTTTCTTCTTACGGGGCGATCTTCAGACCCGGTGGCTTTTGATGGTCTCTGGTCACTAATACTCCTTGGTTCCTATTTTTCTCTTTCGGCCCCTAATCTGGTGATATTGAACAATCTTCGTACGAACCGAACTCTCCCTGTCCTTTTGTTTCCTGAAGGGAATCATCCCGTGTGCCCAGTCCCCTCCGTGGTCCCTTCTCGCCATGCAAACCTCCGATGCCTCAAGTATCTCGAACCGGTTGAATTATTCCAAATTCAATTCGCTCAACACTGACAATACTGGCTTCTCCCACGGGGCATACAACTCCAACATCCCAGTCCAGGGTTTTGCGGACCGGAACGCTCGTCGTGCCAATATCCCTCACATCAACACATCCAGTCCGCTCCCCAACCTCTCGGACAACATGGCGTCCTCCGGCACGGCTTTTGACATGAATTTCACGCCTCTGCTCCCCTCCCAGCTCCTGCTCGGTAGTCCCTTCCAACCCGGAACGCCCTCCGCGTTCACTTCGCCCCAGTTTACCAACTTCGGTGGGTTTCCCCAGGCCAATGGTTCCGCCCATGCACAAAACCATCAGAACCAGCTAGCGAGCCCGACGCAGGCCACACAGAATGCAGGTCTCTATACCGGAATGATGGCCGCCGATGGCATGGGAAACTCTCAATTGCTGGCAGGCCCCCAATCTCCCATTGGTGGTCTGGGTGGTCTCGGTAATGCGGCGTTCGGCAGTCCGGCAGCAGCAGTGACTCCCGGTCTCCTCTCGGGAACGAGCCGCACTGTGTACCTGGGCAACATCCCTGCCGAGACTTCGGCAGAGGAGATCCTCAACCACGTACGCAGTGGCCAGATCGAGTCTGTCCGCTTGCTCCCCGACAAGAACTGTGCCTTCATCTCGTTCCTGGATAGCAATTCCGCGACCCACTTCCATTCCGATGCTATTTTGAAGAAGCTCGCCATCAAGGGCAACGACATCAAGGTGGGATGGGGCAAGCCGTCCCAGGTGCCTACCTCGGTGGCTCTGGCAGTGCAGCAATCGGGTGCGTCTCGCAATGTGTATCTGGGCAACCTCCCGGAGGAATTGACGGAGGACGAGCTGCGGGAGGAATTGGGTAAATTTGGCCCGATTGACACCGTCAAGATTGTGAGAGAGAAGGCGATTGGCTTTGTCCATTTCTTGTCCATCAGCAACGCAATGAAGGCCGTCTCCCAGTTGCCGCAGGAGGCCAAGTGGCAGGCCCCGCGACGCGTCTTCTACGGCAAGGACCGTTGCGCGTACGTGTCGAAGACCCAGCAGCAGAATGCGGCCCAATTCCTAGGCATTGCCCCCGGTTATGCGCATATCCTCAATTCGGCTGATCGCGACCTCATTACCAATGCTCTCGCTCAGCAGTCTGTCGCTGCGGCGGCGGTAGCGACCTCTGCCGGAGGTGTCAACAACCTGGGCAACCGAACCATCTACCTCGGCAACATTCACCCAGAAACCACCATTGAGGAGATCTGCAACGTGGTCCGGGGCGGCCTCCTGCACCATATTCGATATATCCCGGACAAGCACATCTGCTTCGTCACCTTCATTGATCCCACATCCGCCGCCTCCTTCTACGCGCTGAGCAACCTGCAGGGTCTGATGATCCACAATCGCCGGCTGAAGATCGGCTGGGGCAAGCATTCTGGCCCCTTGCCTCCCGCTATTGCACTGGCAGTCAGCGGTGGTGCTTCTCGCAATGTCTACGTTGGCAACCTCGACGAGACCTGGACCGAAGATCGCCTGCGACAAGACTTCTCCGAATATGGAGAGATTGAGCTGGTGAACACCCTGCGGGAAAAGAGCTGTGCATTTGTCAATTTCACAAACATTGCCAATGCTATCAAAGCCATCGAGGGGATGCGCAACCGGGACGAATACAAGCGGTTCAAGATCAATTTTGGCAAGGACCGCTGCGGCAACCCTCCGCGGCAAGCCGGCAACAATGGGCAGCAGAACCGTAACGGAACCGGTCTTGAGGGAGCCCAGTCCCCTCCTCCTGCTCTCAATGGTTTCCAGCCAACTTTGAGCCAGTCGGGCTCCCAGACCAGTCCCGCTCGTTCTGCCCTCTCGCCCGCTCCTGGATCTACAGGCTCCCAGAACGGTTATCAGCAGACCCGTCACCCTCTGCAGACCGTCTCCTCACCCTCCGGTATTCTGAACGTGGGTGCGAACAATCCCCTGACCATGTACCTCAACCAAATGTCTGCACAGCAACAAGTTCAGGAGCAGGAGAACCGCCTGACCGATCCCATGGCCTTGGCTGCCCTCCAGTCGCAATCGCAATCCCAGGCACAACAGCAGTCTTACTACAGCACAAGCAGCACCGCTGAGCTCACTAACGGAAGTATTGAAGCTCCGATGCACCAACACAAGGCCTCCAACGGCTACCTCAACGTCACCAATGGTTCCACGGGGCCAAGCCACCACGCGACCGCCAGCACTAGCAGCCTGAGTGTGCCGCGTGCGCAACATTCGCGCACTGTGAGCTTGCCCTCGTTTTCCCAAGAGCCATTTGGCCCTGTTTCCAGTCAGCCTGGACACGGTCGCTCCGGTATGGCCCATCAGCCTCAGGCCAGCTTCTCCAGCTTTTCTTCCGCCCTTGGAGGTCTGAACCACGCCGGCTTTGGGCTCGCCATTCAAAATGAGAACTCTCTCCCCGGTTGGGCTGAGGAGGAAATTGGAGCAAAATAACTATACACTAATCTGGCATAACTGGACAAATAATCCCACTGTTCAATTCTACGAGTGTTGTTTTTATCTGACATCTTTTTTTTATTTTTATTTTTGTTTTTATTTTTTCACTTCCACCCACATTCTTCAAATTTTGATTCATCATTGCGGTTTGATTCTTGTATTGGCTTGGTTGAGCTGCTTGATTGCATCACCTTCATTATCTTGTTCAAATATTTTTTTTATTTCCCTGCTGTCCTTCTTCCAGCCATTTTTTACCACTTTTTAATCCCTTTGTGATATCACTTGTATTGCTATCTGGGTATGATCTCTCTAATTCTTTTTTCTGTTTCTTTCTTCTCCTTTACTTTTCCTCCTTTTGAGCCGTTTCCAGCCGCTGAGAATCAGCGTGCTCCACGAGCGGGATGAGATGTCGGCTGATACCCTGGACTGATCCGGCTCTGGTCTATACTTGGACGTCTCATCTTCCGCATTTGCATTCTTTGGTACCACTTGCACAACAATCAAGGTCGAGCATCCAGCTCCCTACATTGCACTTTTGGATACGGACAAGGGGTTATATAGCTGCGGAGGTCATGGGTCCACGATGGTGAAGGGCGATTTGAGCCATTCGATGCAGGAATGGATACGGGACAGGAATCAATAAAATACAGTCAGAACTGCTTTTTGTTTTGCTTTTCCCTTGACAGTAGATGGAGGTTGTACTCCATAGGGGGCCCAGTATCTTGCTAGCATCTGTGCGTCGTGTCGTCGCGCATTTCCGTCATTCCGAAACAGGAAAAACATCAACATCAGAGGATCACCATCACGTGATAGCAAATTCTGTGGGTCTACGCTAGTCTCTTTTGGGCGCCACTCCAGGACCAGCTGGAGGTCGATTCATCACCAATTCACCGTCGTCGGTGACTCTTTTCTTCCTCAGTCCTTGTACTTTCAGTAATCAAACCAGCCGTGTCCCTACCGGCTAGTCATCTACACGATGTCTCTACCCCCAGAACAGATCAACATCAAACGTCGCCGGGAGGAAGAACCGGTGGACACATTGTGTAAGTCTCTCTCCCTTCTTGAGTTCCGACTGGGGGGGGGTCGCCCCACGGCCTGGTACAAAGTCACATGGCCGAGACATCATCGACTTGGGCTGCCGGATCGACTCGATACTCTACGATATAAATAAAAAAAGAAGAAGAAGGAGAAGAAGAAAAACCCCCAAGCTAACCAAAGCGGCACAGACATCCAGTCCCAACTCCACCAGACCAAGCGGCGGTTCACGGACTTTGTCTTCCAGCGGGTCCAGGTCGGTGGCAAGGGGAAGGACCCCGGCGCTCCGAGCCCTGCGTCGCCGGCGCCTTCGCGCACGATTCTCAATCCGCGCTCGGTGAGTAGCTCGGCGGTTCGCGCTGCTGCTGCTGCTGCAACAGGAGCAACAGGCGCAACCGTACCCCTGGTGCGCGCCACCTCGCCCGGCGCAGAGTTTCGCGAGGAGAGGCGTCTCGCCGCCGCGCGGAAGGAGGCAGAGGAGAAGGTGCAGCGGGCGCTGCGGTCGTCGCCTGTGGTTGCGCCGCGCGATGAGCTACTGCCAGCGCCGACGCCAGCGCCAGCGGCCACGCCCCTTTCGGTGTCGGGATCTGGCGACGGGTCAGCCGTATCCAGCGGTCGGGGGAGCCCTGCGCTCTCGTCGCCGCGGTCTGTGCGGCGCTTCCAGATCTCGCGGTCTAGTACGCCGGTGAACATCCTGCGGAGTGCGGGGGCGGGCGTGCAGAAGCGGCGCGGGGAGGGTCCTGTTGCCGTGTTGGTTGAGAAGTTGCGGCGGAAGCCGCATTCGCGGCAGGCGTCGTTGGTTGCGGATGCGGCGGTGCGGGCTGCGACGGGGGAAGAGGAGGAGGGGGAGGGGGAGGTGGAGCCGGCGCGGCCGAGGAAACGGCCTGTGGTGAACCATGCGGAGCGGAAGTGGCGGGAGGAGCGCAAGGGGGCGATTTCCGCTGCGAAGGAGCATATCACGCAGGTGTTGGAGGAAGGCGCCAAGGCGCGCCAAAGTAACTGGGAGGATGAGTCGGAGCGGCTGGCGCAGGAGTTCGAGCAGATTGCGTTGGAGCTGGAGGGGGAGATGCAGACCGAGACCGACCATCCCTTCCAGCCAGCGGTGCAGACTACGGCGCGTCCGGTACGGCCGAAGCCTGCATTGAAGTACCAGCCGCGCACGCCTAACAAACACCGGCCGGCGGCGCAAGGGGTTCAAGATCAGGCGGAGGATGTTCAGGCTCCGGTCGAGATCATGGTGCACGATGAAGACGACAGCGACGGCGAGTACGTCTACGACACCTACATCCGGCGACCACTGCCGGAGGGAACGATGCTTACGAATCCGCTGGTGGATTTGGAACTGGACCAGGAGAAGTGGCTTCAGCAGCACGGGATTGACGCTGGTCGTCCAGATATTGGAGTCATCGTCATCACGCAGGAGGACGAGGAGTACTGGGAGCACTTTGCCGAGGACGACGAGGACGAAGACCGATGGGACAGTGAGGACGCAGACTCAAATGGTAAGCTTACATCATTTCGGAGAAAGTCTCTTATCATCTGGATCCCCTGCTAACATTTCCCGCCCCCCCCCTCTTCCTGTTCTAGCCGAGAACAACCCCGCAAACGACTATCCCGACGAGGATCTCTCGTGGGACGACGAGGAAGACGACCCCACGGCCGCCTACCACAGATATCGCACGCATGCGGTGTCTGACGACGAGGAGTTCGACTTTGCGGATTCAGCCAGTGAGGGGCGCCGCGCAGGGCCGGGTGGGGTTGAATCTAGGTTTGGGCTCGGACGCGACTCACACGTGGGTTCAGATGATAGCTTCGATGACTTGGATAGCGACGGCCGCGGCCACGACTCTGGCTTTGGGTACCCTCGGACGCCAGGCTGGTAACAAGGACCGGGATGGCTTGCATTCATTCTGCAGCTTGGCATTGGCAATGATGCCGGCGTTGCTGGATAAAGTCGCGAAGAATCGTTGTAATACTAACCAAACTGGAGATCCGATGACCATCGGACGCCTAAACCGTTTTATCCGGGTAGTCAACTCAAAAATGCTATCTAACCAAAGCCCGTCAGCCCCGTTAAGCCAGTCCGCTGTCGTCAGCCGTCAGCCCGCCATCCTCCACTTTCTTCAGCCATATGGCACTTTCTGGCCCCCAAACCTGCCGTCATCCTTTGGCCTCTAGACCCAAGCCTAGTCCGTAGTAGGCAGATAGTCAGCAGGAGGGTTGGCTTTTGGAATTGGGACTGATGAGCTCGAGGCCGGATGGCTTTGGTTTCGACAGGATGGTATCTATATTCTATTGACATTTGACTACCAGCATCCGCATCAGCATCAGCAGAAGGCCGAAGGCCGAAGGCAAAAACATAAATAAATATAAAACAAAATATAAAATCTTATACCCCGAATCATCCATCTCCACGAAAGTCCAGTGTCCAGTGTCCAGTATCCAGTATCCAGTATCCAGTATCCAGTGCCCCGTGCTCACTGCTCACTGCTCACACACTCCAACCCCCACTCTCAAACACATACACACTTACATACAGCGGGATGCATATTATTATTATATTGCATACGAGGAAACAGAAACAGGCCACTGACCTCTTTCTCCAGCTACGGAGCAGCCTACCTAACCCCCATCGGTACCCATTGGTCATCCCATCCCATCCCATCCCATTCTGACGGTCACCACCACCACCACCACCGTCTCCATCTCCATCTCCTCCTTCTGGTAAGCTCTTCCTGTACTCTGTACTCGATAGTAGGTACTCCGTATACGTCAGAGATAAGAACGGAAGGAAGGAAGGACGGAGCAGACGGACGGATGGATAGGAAATGCGGGGGGGGGATGGATGGGGGGGGGGGGATTCAAAGGATTGCATTTGCCAGACTGCAGAATTCCAGATTCCAGATTCCAGATTCTAGCCATGTGTGCTGTATGGAGGACTGACTGCTGTATGCAGATTGCTGATTGCAGATTGCTGATTGCTCTGTGTGTGTGTGTGTGTGTGTGTGTCTGTGTGTGGCCCGTCTGCGGGCACAGCTGACACTGACACCGACGATATCGACATCGACATCGACATCGACATCGACAGCCATCCATACACACCAAGTAAAAATAAAATAAAATAAAAAGAATTTCCTTTTTGGGTAGGGGTCGGGTGTCGGAGCTTATCTTGGGAGCTGAAGGATTATGACGGTTGAAATCCTTCGGGAAATGGATTGGATTGGATTGGATCTGGATCTGGGTTTGGACTTTGGAATCAATGGAGTTGCTGGTTAGGGGTTGGACTTGGGGAGAAATGGGGATTGTTAGGAGACAGGGCTCTGCTGCGTGGGGTGGGTTTTGAGGAGGAGGAGGATGATGATGATGGGCATTCGTTGTTGGTGTATGATCATGATGATTGCTGAGGAGTGTTGCTGGATGGCGTCTCGTATTATATCATACCGTATTGTATATGTAATACAATACAATACAATACATGACGCAGGTAGTCAAAATTCTCTCAATTGATTGATTGATCAAGGCATGATACCTCTCTTCATTCACTCTGCCAAAAAAGCTGACAGCAAGCCAAAATGCAGTGCTAAATCCAGTAGTGCCTCCCAAACATTACCATAAAACATATCCCGTGAAAGGAGAAACTCTGATCGGAAGAAAAGGGGAGAAGAGAAGAACGAGGAAAACAAGACCTCCACATGCAGAAACTCAAATCGCAAATAAACTTCAAGAGGTATCTTGCGTGTGAATGCAGCCGTAACGAATGAAGGGATCCTAGAAAGAAGGAAAGAAAGAAAAACAGACAGAACACAAAACAAGTTATGCGGATATGCGTCGACTCAAGACTTGGTCTTTGGGCTCTCGCATCCACGGGTACCACACTTTGGCGTAGTCCACCACTCCATAACGTGGAGCCGATGGATCTACGATCGTTGAACCCTCGCGGAGGAACTCGCCGTCCCGCATCCGTCGCTGCTCCCGCAGCGTAGGACAGTTCTTCTCCTTGATGAATCGGTAGAACTTGCACTGGATCCCCTGGAATCCCCGCCGTTGGCGATTGGGGAACTGGCGGTTGAAGCTCTCGCGCACCTCTTTCCATTCTTGGCAGAGGTCCACGCGGTGGTACCAGATGAAGTACATCTCCTCTTCTTCGTACTTGGGCCGAGGCGGCCGGCGCCGCTCAGCAGCGGTGCTAGAGCTGCTGGAGACAGAGTCATACCGGTCCCGGGAGTAAGGGCCTGGTGACGAATCTGTCGATCTGGGTCGATAGGACATGAACATCTGGTCCTGAGAAGACCCGGGGGTCTCGGGATAGATGTGGCTCTCCCCATACTGAGAAGAGTAGTAGTAGCGGTTGGGACTTGGGGGATAGTGCGGCGAGTATTGCTGGCTCGAGAAGGAATGGTGGGATCGGGATTCTGAGGAGTCGGTGTCCGTTGGTGGGTTCAACAACGAATCAATGGCCATTCGGCTCTGGCGAGACGATGGCATGAAGCTAGTTCGCGAGTCCATCTTGTTTCGGTGGGTAGAATTGATGCGCCTGAGACAATCGATTCGAGGAATCGTTGTAGTTGTAGAGGAGTGGGGAAGGGGAGAGGGTAGCGTAACAAAATCGAGGCCGACGAAGCAGGGGAATAAAAAAAAAAGAAGGGACGCAACACAGACGTCGAGAGAACAACCGCCGATGGGAGCAAGGTTGATGGTGATGAAGATGCAAGGCAACGGCACCCTTTTACCCTTTAAGTGGAGAGAAGAAGGGAAGGCTAATTGTTGGTTGTTGGGTTACTATCTCGAACCCTTTCACAACAGACGGACAGCAAGGCTGATTGATAGACGGATCGTAGGAGTCTGGTGGTGGTGGTGGTGGTGTTATTGTCTCTCAGCCACTCTGCAGTCTGGCGCTTTTGCAAAAGACAAGTGTTTGTAGGTTGCAAAAGAAGATCAACGACAGGCCAGAGAAGAGACACAAGAGGGGGAACGGAGGGCGACAAGAAAGGGTTATTTGGAACAATGATTTTCTTCTCAAGAGCTTCACCAACACACTAGAAGACACCCGGTTGGACTCTTAAATGAGGGTACAGGCCGCCAAGTGTTCCGTTAGTCGTTCCTAACCCATGCAGCGTACCGAGTCCTTGGATCTCGTCGGCCTGTAATAGAGACCGACTGCGCCCCCTGTCAGTCTGGCTGTGGAGAGCGTAGCGTCCTACGGCGGGTACGCAATGATGCTGGATGGACAGTCGATTCCGGAGTGATGCGTAGCGCCAGAACAGGGGATGGGGTTGAAATTGCACTGCTGCAGGCAACTCTTTCGTCCCGGTGTGGTGTTGGTGGAAGTAGTGTAGCTGTAGACCCAAGGGGGTGGGAAAAGGAGATTATGGTCTAATGTCGAGTCAAGCCGACTCGACCAAATAACCACCAAAACCTGAGGGGATATTGGAATGTTGACAAGGCAGACAATGAGTCGGGGTTTGGAGATGTTGGTCGAGCCTGAGCGCAACTATGTATGTCTGCCTCCCTTTCTACAATTGATCTTTTTTTGTTTCTCCCTTCTCTCTCTCTCTCTTTCTCTCTCTCTCTTTTTTTTTTTTTTTTTCTTCCTTGTAGAGGATATGCAAGGATATTCGTTTGAGAGACCCGAGAAACCACAGAAGGAGAAGATGAGGAAGGAAAGTTCGCCACTGAGAGATGTCGTTCAACAGGGTATAGGCAGGCAGGTAGGCAGGCAAGTAAGTAGTAATAGTAGTCTAGTTGGTAGTCCGGTAGACTAGAAGTCGAACAACAGGGTTGAGTGGAGAATCCTCAACCCATCCAGAGGCAGAAGAGAAAGGTCACGTTGGCCAACGTCGTGCAGGAGAAAGTCGATATGCTTGGTGTTCACCGTTGAATCGGCTCGCTTTTCCAATACTTCCTCTTTTTTTGTTTTTTTCTTTTATTGCTCAGTTAACTTTTCGTTCCCCCCCTGCTCGGGCTGTCTTCCGGAGATGTTCTACCTGATTGCTGCTATCCAGAAAGAAAGCGAAAGTCTAGTTCCTATACTCCTTTGTCCGTACCTTGGATGCTTAATCCTCCGGTTGACAAGGGTATCTCAAAAGTCGAAAAGAACCGGGGGGGGTCTGTCGGAGGAGCCGCAAATGGCAACAAAGAGAAAAAAAAAAATATAGATAGATAGATAGATAGATAGATAGTAGGGGAGACGGAATTAATTGACAGAGTTACACCCTCGGATGTGACGATGATCCGCTTTAGAATGGACGTTAGACAGAACTGGTAAACAGTGGTGTCTCTTTCGCGGCTATATTGACAAGGTTAATATGGGTCAGGTCCAGGATGGGGCAACTCGATGAACCCTGATGGTTTTTGACACCGATGACACAATCATCACCTACACGGAGGTTTGGCCACAGCGCGGGGGGTAAGATCTTAATAATGAGTAAATAATGAGACAAGGAAAAAGGGGGGGCAAGAAGAAGAAGTGAAACTGTTACTAACTCATTCGTAGCAGAAAGAGAAGAAGATCAGGATGGAGGTGTCGAATTGAGGTAAGATATGCATGCAACCATTCACCGTGGATGATGTACCCAATGTAGCCTCAAACGATAGCTAACTAGTAACTACCTACTCTATGGTTCATGAGAAGAAATTCCAAATTCTTCATGACTATCTTACAATATCCTTTCTTTCAAATGTCCGAAACCAAAGCAAATCCCGCGAGATCATGGCTGCTCGTATACGAGGATCAAAACATAAAGATAAATAATAGAAAATAATAAATGAAGATGATAAAAAAGAAAAAGAAAAAGAAAAAAAAAAAAAAAAAACTGCAATGTCTGAAGAAAACCTTAGTGATTCAGTAAGTACCTAAACAGTAGTAGTAAGTAGTATCTCGTCGCGCTACGAATATCTATGGATCGACGATGGGGAACGGAATGTATCAAAATGAGGTGGAGTTGGGCCAGTCTTCCTTTTTCCCGTCCACTCACATTTGTGAAAATGATCTCCCGTCTGATTGGGCGAGAGAGCAAATCATAAATCATATCAAATATAGAATTTGGGTTTATCAGGAGGAATTCTCAGGATGCCAAATGCAAACTTGCAAAGTATCTGTGATTTTGTTTTTGTGTCGATTCGACCGAACCAAGCCGTTTCGAGGAACCCCTCCCCCCCCCCAAAATCAACAAGGCCAAGGTTATCTATCGACGGGGATTAGATTGAAGGATAACCAACAAGAAGAAAGAAAAAAAAAATAAGCCGAGCCGACCAATGGCTCCAGCCCAAATTGTGGCGTAACACTTCATACTTTTAGATACACACTCACTGGACACAGTCTGCAGCCCTGCCACTGCATGAGAAGATTCGGGTTCCCGGAGCTGATAGGTTCACCAGTGACGCTGGCTGCAATGGCCGAATGTCTCGCGGTCACCGAAGCGAAACATTTGCAACAGGGTTCACGCTTCTCAGGCCAACCTTCAGGGCTCTGGAACATCAGACGACGCCAAGGGTCATTCCTCCGTGATCCGTCCTCTGTATGGATCTTTTGACGAGAGTCAAATCGAATCGATCAGGGCTGTAACGAGTAACGAGTAATGACTAGGTAGATAACTACCTGATTAACTAAACTGTAGAGTGTACACTGTCCCATTGCAAGTGGAGCACTTCGCCCAATGGCCCGTTCTCCATCATAGAACCCACTGTTCGCTTCTTGATTTTCATTGTTGTCTAGTTTTGGATTATGATTCAGGAGTGAGGACGGACCACGGAGGAAAGATTTTCTTCAAGGAAGCTTCGTGAGATGGACCACTGATCATGCCGGTAGCAGCTCCATATTCTAATTCAAGAAGGAGTCTTTCGAGCCATTGATTGAATCACAAATCCTCCCAGGTCCAATAGTCAGTTACCGAACAGATGAGAAAGAAGCGCTCCCCAGAAATAAATTACCTGAGCTGGTCTCGACCCTTGACTCGTCTCTGTCTCTCTCTTTCTCACGCGGTTCATCGCCTCATTACTCGTAGCTAATGAATCAAGCATGGGGTCGGGATTCCTTTTTTCCCTGTCAGATCAAGCATGAAGAAGCCTGTCTTAATTGCCTCAATGCAATAATAGCATGGGTAAAAGGATCACTGCAGGTCCTCGAGCAGCTCACTACGACATTCTGCTTGGAAAGTTGATACTTGGTACTTGGTAGCCTCATCGGATAGGCTGACTTGTGCTAATGTAGACTGAAAGGAGGAGAGAAGAAAGGGAGGTGGGGGGGAAAGGAAAACCAACAACAACGGACGCAATAAACGGCGTCTATTGGATGCGGGTGCGTCAAGTCGACAGCCCAACCTGCAGTGGCTTGCAGGGTGAACCGTGGTACTGGGACGCTCTGACCAATCCTTGTGGAGCGTTTTCCTGCTGTCTAGCTCTTCTGGTCTCAGATTACACAAGGGTGCTGACGGGACGGTCAGCTTTTTACCCAGTACAGAAGTCGGTGTTGTGTAGTTGAGTTTTCGTTGACATTTGGCTTGACAGCAAGCACACGATGTGTGTGGGTCCCCGAAGTCAGTCAGCAGTCAGTACTATGTAAATAGTAGTACAAAGTGCTTTTCGACTATCAGAAGAAGAATAAATAATCAAAAAACTTGTCATTATTAAGAAGATTGGTGGGATAATCCCAGGATGGAAATGTGTTTAATCTTCATTTTTGTTTTTCTTTTTTTTTTGGTGGGGGGGGGGTGTCAACTGTCAGGATCAGAAAGTTTACCTAGAAATCATCCTGAAGAGTTTCCGTGAATCCTTCCATTCGAATTTTGGCTTTTTTTTCGAGTTCAGGTCACGCTTCAAGGAGATTGTCACACATGCATACAGGAAGCATACATAGTACATACACAACCACGCAGTCCAGATACCAATCTGCAGAAACTGCCAGCACATATCTGCATTCATGAGATGATCTGCTGGTTCATTCCCCCCGCTCAAACATATAGAAAAAATAATAAAAAAAGAATATTCAGTCCAAAAAAAAGAAAAAGAAAAAGAAAGCAATTCTTTTGCTACTCTATCTGCATCTATCTGCCTGCAGTGCATCTTGCGCAATCATTATGTCTTTCCCACCTCCTCAGACAGTGTATGTGGCTTGCTTTTTTTTTTTTTTTTTTTTCCATCCTAGAATTTCAGATGTTATCTCTGCATATGCCCGTGAATCAGCCTTCAGAAAGGTACGTAGAGGGCGTGGTGGTCTGGAGTGCTGCGAATGTGATAGTAAATTAGTACGGAGTACTCCGTACTAAGATCCTACGCATAACAGCCGCGAGGCAATCTACAAGCACAAATGCACAATCATAGCAGATCCGTACTATGACTCTTTGCCCCAGAATCGGCCGACTCATGGGCTTTAGTCCGAGCCTGCATGCCTCTAGAGTCTGGCAGCCTGCTACTGTAATAATTCCCATACTAATTGCGGTAGATGAAGGGCGATGACTGGACCGAACATGCCCAGAAGGCCAGGAAAAAAAAAAAAAAAACAGCCCCCA